GCAATTAACATCTCATGTTAGTATGGTATATGTGCTATAATTAATGCACAATATTGATACATCGTTAACTAATATATGTGCTTTATTAGATTTCCTTCATTTTTATCTAACATCCCTTTTCTGTTCCAGAATCTCATCTGAGATGCTCCTTCACAGGTAGCTGTCAGGTCTCATTAGGCACCTCTTGGCTGTGTCACTATCTCAGGCGCTCTGAGTCTTTGATGACCTTGACAGTTTTGAGGAGTATTCGCCAGGTTTTTTGTAGACTGTCCCTCAAGTGGGATTCGTCTGATGTTTTCCTCATGATTAGACCGGGGTTATGGGGTTTTGGGAGGAGGATCTCAGAGGTAAAGTGCCCTTCTTGTCACATCCTATGAAGGGTACACGTTATCCACAGGACTTATCACTGCTGATGTTGACCTTGATTACCTGGCTGAGGCGATGTGTGCCAGGCTTCTCTACTGTAAAGTTGCTGTTTTATTTATTTTTTCCTTTTCCATACGGTACTGTACTCTTGGAAGCATCGTATTCTAGTTGATTAAGTTGTTTCTCACAGGGCTATGGGTTGACAATTCTGATACTGCTATATATGTACACTTAATTGAACAGTTATGTAAACACATGGTGGATGGTGAGAGCCAGGATTCTCACTTTCAAAATTGAAGCTTACAGATAAGAAGGGGAAGACGCTGGAATTATGATAATTATGGTAATGGATTCAAGTTGGAGAGCCAGCATGAACTCACTGTTAGCTTAAAATAGATACGGATGGTTACATATAGAACTATTTATAGATATGTGTTTATGCACTAGTTAATATGCATACATATATTTCCTTGCTTTGTCAGCTGAGAGGGCCTACAAGCAACAACAACCCAATAACAGAATTTACCTAATGCCCAGATCTTGGTTCTAATACGATTTTCTAATAGAAGGAATTTCAAGTACTTGGAGAAATAAAATTTTACTACCAATACAGTTATTAGTAAATAAAATATATTATTATATATTACAAGTACATGAATTGTATATCGTATATTTTGTAAGTCTGTGAACTTACAAATGGTATCAGAGTATATGTATTTTTCTGCAGTTTTTTTCCTGCTCTCAATTTATCATATGAGATATACACATAGTTTGATACGTAGACTAGTTTATTCATTTTTACTGTTGAATAGTAATGTGTCATACTCATATTATACAGTTTATTCATCCATTTGCCTACTCATGGATGTTTAAGATATTGTAAACAGCCACTGTAAATATTCCTTAAAAAGGGCCACAAAATTTTGTATGAGATTCCATCCTCTGTGGATTGTTTCCTTGTGTTTTCCTAGATTGAACTTCAGTGTTGACATCAGTATGAGAGAAGAGAGGCTAGCAGAGGCAGGGGGAAATTTGGAGGAGAATGGAAGACAGCCTGCAAAGTTAGTGGCCACTCTGTATCTGACTGCTTGAACAGGCAGGATTTCTCCAGGGCTTATATATAATTAAGAAGGATAATTGCTGCCTATGTTAGTAAGACGATCTTCAACTTGACCAGATAATGCCAAATTGCTTTACAAATTAGTTATACAATTCACATTCCCACCAGGAGGGCTTAAGAGCTGCAGTGCTCCATACATATGCCAAGACTTGCAATTTTTAGACTTTTGAATAATGCCTATTTGAAGAATGAGGAATGGCTATCACTGTGATTATAGTTTTCATTCATATTTTTCTGATGCTCAGAGATTTGACGTATTTTGGTGTTTATTTGGATCATTTGCCAGTTGTCTTTTGCTGGTTTCTCTAATTGTTTGTTCTGTTATTAATATATTGAGAATTCTTAATAAATTCTACATACTAGTTCTTTACAGTTAAGTAGGTCACATCTGTACCAGTGTGTTGTTTCTCTTACAAATTATGTCTTCTGATTAATGGAATCCATAATTTCAATATACTACAATTTATCAAAATTTTGGTTTAAGACATTTTTAAAAAATTTGTTTTAAAAATTCTTTAAAAAATTCTTCCCTATCCTAAGATCATAAATATGTATCTCTGTATGCACTTTCTACTGTTAACATGGTATTCCTTTTTCACCCTGTTACTTTCAGCTTATTTGTCTCTTTATATTTGAAATACACATCTGGTACCCAGCATATCATTGGATCTTGTTTTTGTATTCAGTCTGACAATCTTTGTTTTTTAATTGAAATCTTTAGTTCATTTATATTTAATGTAATTATTGGTATGGTGGGTTTAAGTCTATTGACTTGCTATTAATATTTGTCTTCTATTTATTCCTTTTGTTTTTTATTCTTCGGTTCCTTTTTGCCTATCTGTTTTGGGGGGTGGGGGTTAATCTACTATTAATGTTTCATTTTATTTCCTTGACTGACTTCTTAGCTTTAACCCTTTTTAAAAAGTAGTTTTCTAGGGCTGACACAATGTTATAATTTATACTTTGTTATTTGTATATCATTCCATACTTTATTTGAAAATCATTATATTTTGCTGTGTGTTAGTATGTGCTTAGTTTTTACTTTCTGTGGGGGAGGATCTGCATCTTAGATGTTGCCCATATTTATTATTATTCATTCATTCAATAAATACTTATTAAACATCTACTATGTACCAGGGACTGTGCTAGGTATTGGAAATACAGCTGTGAACAAGACAGACATGAAGTCCACAGTTTGTCTGGGGAAATGAAAAAGTATGTGGGAAAGTTTTCCTAGAAAAGGAAATGTGAGCAGAAATTGGTCAAGTGAAGAAAGGGATACAAGATGATTCCAGGTTGTGGCAGCAGTGAATACAAAAACTAAAAAGCAGGAAGAATAAACTCCTTGTCCAGGGAGTAGTAAGATATTCCACATGGTTTAAGTACAGTATTCAATGGTACAAATAGAGGGTGGAGAGTAGAGTAGAATGCAGTTTGGCCAGAAGTTTAGGGAGTCTCTGGTAACTGCTAATATTCTTATTGAATTAGGGATCTATACCTGGGTCTATGGTATTCATGTCATTAAACATTCATTAACTGGGGCTGGGTGCAGTGGCTCTTGGCTGTAATTTCAGCACTTTAGGAAGCTGAGGCAGGCAGATTACTTAAGCCCAGGAGTTTGAGACCAGCCTGGGCAACATGGCAAGATCTCATCTCTACTAAAAATACAAAAATTAGCTGGGCATAGTGGTGCATGCCTGTAGTCCCAGCTACTCTGGAGACTGAGGAGGGAGGATAGCTAGAGCCCAGGAGGCAGAGGTTACAGTGAGCTGAGATCATGCCACTGCACTCCAGCCTGGGCGACAGAGTGAGACCCTGCCTCAGAAAAAAATTTGTTTTTGGCAGCTCATGCCTGTAATTACAGTATTTTGGGAGGGTGAGGCAGGTGGATCACCTGAGGTCAGGAGTTCAGGACCTGCCTGACCAACACGGTGAAACCCTGTCTCTACTGAAACTACAAAAATTAGCTGGATGGGGTGGCACATGCCTGTAGTTCCAGGTACTCAGGAGGCTGAGACTGGAAAATTGCTTGAACCTGTATAGCAAGTTGGCTGGCTGCCGTGGGTGTGCTGGCTATTGGCTGGGGCAATGGGGCGATTGGACCCCATGTGTGCTCAGCCTCCAGCAAGCTAGTCCAGGCTCAGTCACACAGTTATGTGGCAGGCTTTCAAGAGAACGAGTGGCAGGACACAGGGCTTCTTGAGGTTCAGGCTTGCAACTGGCACACGTTTTCACTGCATTCTATTGGCCAAAGCAGATCACAAGCCAGCTCAGATTCAAAGCGTGAGGAAACAGGACTTTTTAATGGAATGTGCTGCAAGGTCACATTCTAAGGGATTGGGAGCAGATAGGGAGAGAAAATGGGGTCATTTTTGAAATCCATGATAGAAACCCAGGTAATCTGATTTCTGAGCACACGCTCAACCTTGCGGTATACTTTATTGTTGTAAATGTTATTAGCATTATGCTAACCATAACATTATGAAACGCTGCCTTTTCTACATGGAACAAGGCCCTGTGATTTGTTCTCTGAGCAACAGAAGGCGACATGACATCTCTATATTCAGTGGACACTGCACTACCATCTCCCAGCATCTCTGTCTGGCCAAGGACACGCACATCTGAGCCCTCCAAGGTGAGAAGTGGAGGTTGGAAGGTGAGGACATGGGCTATTGCTTCTCCACAAAGCGACTATAAACTGGCTGAAAAAGTGGACAGTTAGAGATCTCCAGGGGATCCAAGCTAAAATCACGTGAATGATTTTAACCTCTCTGTGCTTTGATGTTTTTGTCTATGAAATGGACATATAATACCACCCTGTTACCCATCTTACTGAGTTGTTGCAAGGAAGATATGAAGTAATGCATGGCCGTATCATGAAAGCCACCTGGTAGGAAATATTTATTATGTGCTGAGCACACAGTATCTCATTCACATGATTTAGCTTGGATTCTCCCCAAAGCAGGGAGACTGTGCTAGGTATTGGAAATACAGCTGTGAACAAGACAAACATGAAGCCCACAGTTTGTTTGGGGAGATGAAAAGTATGTAGGAAAGTTTTCCTAGAAAAGAAAATGTGAGCAGAAATTGGTCAAGTGAAGAAAAGGATACTAGACAGTTCCAGGTTGTGGCAGCAGTGAATACAAAAACTAAAAAGCAGGAGGAATAAACCGCTTGTCCAGGGAGTAGTAAGATATTCCACATGGAATATATTATAGGGCCTCATTCTAGAACTTGGAGGCAGATAGTTATTTGAGAAGTGATTATTTATAAACAGATAGCTTATTTGAGAAGTGCCCGTGCGGCCTCAGTGCCACTGCTGTGAGCAGAGGGGCCTGATTCTACTAGGCAACATAGCAAATTCCTGAAAATTTAACATTTTGGCTCTCACCAGCTGGCCCCAGCACATCACGGCTAATGAACATAATGAACACAATTGACAGCTTCTGAGTGCGGCTGTGGTTGTTACTGTAGATACAAGTTCAAGCCAGAGAGAGTTGAGGCAACGACCCCAATGTGGGGAACACTGAGTGTCTTGTTTGTCTGCGGGTTGGCACCCAACCCAGTAGATAACATGGGGCTGCTCTCCTTCACCACATTTTCCTGGTTCATGCCAGTAGTGAAGAAAAGCTACTGGCAAAAGCTGATTGCAGACACTCTGCCCCTGTTGTCAACATACGACTCATCCGACCACAATGTCCAAAGGTACCAGGATTTGCTTGGGTCACTGCAGTTTCGTACTGCTATGAAGAAATACTTGAGACTGGGTAATTTATAAAGAAAAAGAGGTTTAATGGATTCACATTTCCATGTGACTGGGGAGGCCTCATGATCATGGTGGAAAGCGAAGGAGGAATAAAGGCACATCTTACATGGTGGTAGGCAAGAGAACGTGTGCAGGGGAACTGCCCTTTATAAAACCATCAGATCTCATGAGGCTTACTGCCATGAGAACAGCACAGGAAAACCTGCCCCCATGATGCAATGACCTCCCATGGGGTCCCTCCCATGACAGAGGGGATTATGGGAGCTGTAATTCAAGAAGAGATTTGGGTGGGGAGACAGCCAAACCCTATCAGTTACCTCAGGAGAGAAACCCACCCTAGGGAAGCGTCCTGTAAACTCCTTTGTGTGCTCCCTAGCTGTGTGCTCCACAATTTCCCCAGTGTGGAAGATGACACCCATGGCTGCTGATAACTCTTCTCTGAGACTCAGGCTGGACTGCATAAACTTCTTGGCTCGGGTTATGGGGAGGTGGGAATTAGCTGGCATTAGTGAGGAGAGGGGGCTCATTGGAAGGCTATAGCCTAAGGCTCAGGACCCTTCTGGCTGGGTTGCAGCTGGTTTGCAGGAGTACTGCATCAGGACAGAGGTGGATGGAATCTTACTTTGCTCTGTGCTGGTCAGACTCCACCTGACCAGCATGCAGCTTTAGGCATCAGGTTTTGTTTTACTTTAAAAAATAATTATTGGACTTTTATATTACAAAATATATTTAGGTTGATCCTAATGAAACTGCCAATATTTGACAATTTTAACGTGTAAAAATGTAAATGTCATTTGTCCAACCTAATTCATATTCATTATAAAAATGTGGAAGCAGCGGAAGTTTAAGCCGTAGAAGTAACTCTCCCACACTGCTGCTATACTCCCTGGAGGTCAGCACTGTGAAAATGTCAGCGTGGCTCCGTTCAGAATTTTCCTTCTCTGGTTAAACACACCCTGGGCTGCCATCATCTTCTTCAGATCAATACCTCTTCTTACTCCTCACTCACAGGTCATGTTTTATTTTAATATAAACAAAAATGAAGCATACTACATAACTGTTGATCACATTTATCTTTTCAGTTAAGAGTTTATGAAGACTTTTCCATGTTAGGACAAAGACATCAAGTTCATTTTTTCCAGCAGCTGCATTGAACTCTGTGGTTCTGATTACCTATATAATACAAAGAATGGAGAAGTCTTGGGAGCGTTAGTCATGGCCTTCTAATTGCTTGTAGAATTGTGCTTCTCCTCATCTGTGCCCGGAAGAAATCTCAGCTAGTGGTAAATTCTAAAATCTACCGCCTGAAGAAAGTTGCCGGGGAGCTCTGAGGGAAAGGGACTGGAGTAGCGTCTGCTGCGCGCCCACTCTCCTCCGTCCTCTCTGGCCGGTATTCTCCATCTGTTCTTAATGTTTCCTCTCATCTACCCAATATCCACTTAGATCTGTGTCTCTCCCATGTTGTGTTATGCTCCTAGGTGACCCCCTCCACTTCAAAGGCTTAAACACCAAACACACGCTGACTCCTGCAGTAACACGTCCATGTCCATCTCCAGGCCACGCCCCACTTCCAGACTCTGAAACTGCGTGCCTAGCATCCGATGGGACAACTGCACTTAGATGCCTCAGGAGCATCTCTCCTGTCTAAAGCTGGCCCTATTCTTGATCCAGGGCCCCAACCTGACATGATTCCTCTCCTCTTCTGCTTTTTCTCATCTCCGTCTCTGTAAACTCTATTCACACAGTTGGCCAAGCCAGAAAACTGGGGTTCATCCTTGAACCTCCTTCGCCTTTCCTGCCACATCTCATTCATCAGTAAGCCCTGTTGTTGCTCTCCATCCACTTTTCTTTAATTTCACTGCCACCTCTCACCTGGAGGCTGATAATCTCCTGCTGCGGTCTCACGCCATCATCCATCACTTTCACAGCAGCCAATTGATCTTTTAGATGCGTAAAATGATCTTGTCACATCAGCTTAAAAATCTATAATGGCTTGCTTTGCCCTTGGAATGAAGGAAGGCCTTTGAGGTTTTCCCTAGATCTCGTGAAGTCCCCCAAGATCCCAAGAGTTTCTGCCTTGCTTCCCACTGTCCCGATAGCCCCTCCCCTTTGCCCACCACACTCCTGTCTCTCTGGCCTTCTTCCAGATCTTTGAAATGAGCAATGTCCTCGCTGCACTGAGAAGATTTTTCTCTTGACCTCTCTGTTGCCTCTGTCTTCTTATAAGAGCTGATACTGTGGCAGAGATGGGTGGTAGGCAGAGGAAAAGAAGGGCTGGCAAGGACCCAGATGCCACACTCATACCAGCTTGTGTCTAGGCATTACCCTCTGTGCTTCCCAAGTCCCACCTGTTCAGGAAAAGCAGAAAGCAGACCCAGTGCTGGAAGGCACCGCTGCCAGGGAGGAGGGCTGTGCTGAGCACCCTTGCAAGACCGTGCCCAACAGAGTAGCTTCAAACAGCACATGGAGGTGCCAAACCCTTTTAGGCTTCCTGTTTTTTTCATCACAGATTTCGAGTCCTTTGGGTTGAAAGGTTAGGTACTGAAAAGGCCTCTCTGGGCCATATGGTCTGGAAATTCCAGAGGACTCCCTTTTTGATGAACATCGTGGCCAACAACATGTGCATCATCACGGGAACCACAGGGCCAGTGAGAGGGGCGGCCCTTCTTCTGCTTTGCCTGCTAGGTCCCCAGCCTGGCACAGAATGTCATTAGTTACTTTCTCTACGAGCTGGTGGGTTTAGTGCATTGTGATTATCTTTGCGCTCCTTGGGGGTGAATTTTCATAAAGCTAATCCTTGTCAAGCACAGCAGCAGCCACCAAACTTAATTAAAAAGTTTGCCTCCTAAAGTCAGCTTGCCGCCATGATCTGAGGCCTCCTATGCCGGCCTCAGCCCTCAGTGGCCCTCTCCTCTCCCCATCGCACTGTTTTACAGCCAGTTTTCATTCACAAAATCCTCCAGCTGCCTGAGAGAACATCTGGAAAAGTCTGGGTTGTCAGTGGCCTGTGTATAGCCCTTGTTGCCACCGAGTTTACCAAAGGCTTCTTTCGGCTTTTGCCTAGGCCATCAACTACCGCACGGCCGTCCGGTTGGAGGTGATGCTCTCCACCCTGGTTTTCGAAAACCTGGTGTCCCTCAAGACATTAACACACGTCTCTGTTGGTGAGGTAAGCTGGTCTAGAAAAGGAGTCTGGAGTGGTTTGAGCGCATGTGAGATCTGGGTCCTGGATAGAGCACCTGCCTTCCCTTTGTTTGACTATGACCTGCCCGTCGTGTCCCATCTCCTTGCTAAGTGAGGTGTTGGAGACACAAAACACCAGAGGAGTTCAGAGAGAGGAGGGCTCCGTTCAGGCTGGAGAATTTGGAGAGGCTTCCTAGTTCCAGCTGGAACAGGGCTCAGGAGGACTTCATCCAGTTGCTTTGATGGTCAGTGGGAACAGCGGAGCAGTACTGAGCACACTGTAGGCATTTAATAAAATGGATGGACTGATGGCTCCATAATCCCAACTGTTAGCGTAGGGGATGCCAAAGCCACAATGAAGACTGTGCCTGTTGGACTTCAGAGTTGACGTTTTCTTAAGCTCTTAATCCTTGGCAAGAAAATTCTTACCACTTATCAAACACACACACACACACACACACACACACACACACACACACACACCTCACACACACACACTCCCTAATCAAGGGAACCCCAGGTGGTGTGGGGTAAGATAAAACACTTGCTTCTTTCTTACAGTTGCTCTTTTAGCAAGCTCGAAGCATTTAATTATGATTAGATTCAGTTGCATATAGCAAACCCAAAATAAAGTGGATTAAACAAAAGGAATTAATTTCACTCTATGTAAAAGGAATCTAGAAGGGAACAATGCAAGGTTGGCACAGGAGATTCCAGATCTTTCTGCCTTTCTTCATCACTATCTTTGTACATGGCTCTCATAATGGTTCAAAAGGACATGCTAGAGACCCAGCCATCCCAGCCACGCTTCAGACAGGTGGTAGGAGGAAGAACAGAAGAAGGGGTACCTTTCGGGTGGAGTTGGCTGACTTTAAGAAATCTTCACTGCAGCAGGATTGGCGGGGGACAAACCTCTCGAACACCGAACTGAGAAAGGAAGTGGCTTTTTATTTGGCCGGGAGCTGCTGGAGGCTAATGCCTTGACCACTGAGCTCCAGGAGAAGCAGCTTCTTTCCCTTCTTAGGGGCTGACAACTCTAAAGCCGGAGCAGGGGTGAAACTCCACTATGCTACTAGATGCTAACATTACGCTTTAAGTCTTTCTGCATTGAGATTCTCAGCCTTAAAAGACCGGCCTCTCCAAAATCGTACCAGAACCCAGAAAACTCATGATATTGGTCCCTGGTGGCCCCTTCCTGCCTTAGAGCCTAGAACCCCTCCGCCAGTCTGAAAGTCTTCAGTTGAAGAAATGTTTGACTGACTCTTCCAAACCTGAACCCACGTACTTTTCTTTCCAGGTGCTCAATATACTGTCAAGCAATAGCTATTCCTTATTTGAAGCAGCCTTGTTTTGTCTCTCGTCAGCCACCATCCTGATGCTAATGGCCTTTTTCATTCCGGGACCCACAGCTCTCACCGCAACATCCATGTCCGTCCTGTGCACCGTTATTCAGGTAACGACAGGCTTTCGCACTTCTAACTGCTTTATGTTTGCATTTCACACACTTTCACTGAATTGGTTAGAAGCCTGCGTTTCTGGCGCATGGACCTGAAGCTTGTGCCCCCTTTCGTACTCACAGATTTACTTCCTTTGGCACAGAGTAGTTTTGTTTTTGTTTTTGTTTAGTGACAGAGTCTTGCTCTGTCACCCAGGCTGGAGTGCAGTAGTGCAATCATAGCTCAATGTCCTGGGCTCAAGCAATCTTCCTGCCTCAGTTCTCCCAAATAGCTGGGACTATGGATGCATGTCACTGTACCTGGATAATTAAAAAGAAATATTGTAGAGATGGGGTCTCACTTTGTTGCCCAGGCTGGTCTTGAACTCCTGGGATCAACCCATCCTCCCGCCTCAGCCTCCTGAGTAGCTGGGATTACAGGTACAGAGCACTGCACCTGGCCACAGTGAAGTTTTTTTAAAAACTTGAATTTGAATGCTCCGGGAAGGGGAATGCTTCTTCAATTTGTCAAAGCCCGCAGCACTCCCTTTATGCCTTTGTATCATCTGCCTGACCCCCCTCAGACAGCGTCAGCAGCAGCCACAGCTCAAGGGAGGGAAAGATTTGGCTGAGAATCTCAAGCCAACTTCCTCTAGAACTTTTCCTGGCACTTACGCTCCCATCTGTGGATTTTTAGGCCAGCTGCAACTCAGCAGTTCTCTCTGAAAACAGTGTTTGTACCTTGATTTCAGATGTTTATGGCCAAGCTCAATCCAGCTTTCCGAAGGTCAGCAATTTTGGTGACAGACAAGCGAGTTCAGACAATGAATGAGTTTCTGACCAGCATCAAGCTCATCAAAATGTATGCCTGGGAGAAATCTTTTACCAACACTATCCAAGGTAGGACAGGAGTTGCTGCTTAAAAAACCGCTTATCTTGTAGAATATGCTTTTCTACAGGTTCTTAAGGTTCCCAGGGCCAGGTGTTCCAGAAGGAGGCTGAGGGGACCCTCTGAGCTGCTCTGCAGGCCAAAGGATTTTTTGAAGGATTATGGAGATTTAATAATAGAGCCAGGCATCTGTTCTGGTGAACCCAAGGGTGAGTGACATATGGTTTCTCTTTCCTGGGACATGTGGATCCTGGTCCTGGCGAGTTACCTTTAATAAAAATAATCCACTAAAACAGTGAGCAGGTAAAAAGCTGTCTCCAGCTATTTCCTTGACTTAGAAGACTTGTATACACACATGCTGTCACACACCCAGGGTTACACAGACCTCTTTACCTGCAGCAACGTGCTTGTGTTTGAATGGTCCACTGACTCAACATTCCTTGGGCAGTTATGAGAAGATGCATATGTAGTTTTGTTTTTTAAAGCTGATATAGAATCTATTTTGATCAAATATAAATGCAAATTTAATTGCAGGGACATTAACATAATTGCTGACATAGACTCAGGTGGTTCACCAGTTAATGATCTGAACCACTATCACAATTGACTCTCTGGATGTACAATTACACTTTTGCACCAGCATGGAATTGGGCCAAAGCTGTGTGTCTGTACTCTAGGGAGTGGCTTAGAGAACCCGCTTCTGAACTGGCCAAAGGAAGTGCCCCAGGTTAGGACCCTAGCAGCACTAGAAGACCCAGAAACACATCCTCACACTCCTGAGTTCACTTCAGTGCAATTTAATTTGATTTGATTAAAGTTGATTCCATTTGATTTAATTCAACTTAATTTAACTCGTCAATTTAGTTCAATAACTATATATCAAGTTCCTACTATGTGCAAGGCCATGGGAGCTACACAGATGAAATGGAAAAGGGTTTCTTCTTTTACCAATAAGGGAGGATGAGATAACTTAGCTCAAAAATAGCCACGAGTTTGTTGGCTCTACCTTCAGAGTATATCCGGAAGCCATCTGCTTCTCTCCATTCCACTCCCACCCAGTCCAAGCCAATATCCTCTCCCTCCTGGACTACGACAAGGCCTCTAGGCACTCCTCCTGCCTTCCCCCTCTCTCCTGAAATCCACTGTGCACTCAGCAGTCAGAGTGACCTTTAAAAAATGTCAATCAGATCCTCTTCCTCCTCTGTTGGAAAATAGTGGCTTCTTATCACATTTAGATCATTCAAAGGTAGGTCTTTAGAAGGGAATCCAAATTCTTCCATATGACCTATTAGGTCCAACCCGATCTGGCCCCCGGTGCCCTCTCTGACATCATCACATTTGCCCTAAGCTTCAGTAACTCAGCTCTAGCGGTGTCTGCTTTAGTCTGTTTCTAGAGCCACACGCCATGCTCATTCAGGCCTCGGGATCCTGGCACTCACTGTGCCCTTTGCCTGGAGTGCGCTCCTGCTGGATGTTTATGGTGGCTTTGTCTCGACTTTAGGTCTCTTCTCAACATCCAGAGAGGACTTCTGGACCGCAGTGCCAAGCAGATCCATGCCACCTCTCAATCACTTCACCCTGATCATGTCTTTCAGATCACCCAACACAATTTGCAGCTATTTAATTATTTCTTTATTGTCTGTCTCCCCCTGCCCCGGAAGAGGGCCAGACCCTTTTCACTCCTCTATTCTCCAGCCACAGGCATATAGTAGACATCAGGTTCAAATATCTTGAGTGAGTGAACACATGAATTCATGTTATTCTATAGGGGAAGGGGGGGAAAGTGCCAGAAGAGAAACAGAGACGCTCCGCAGGGGAGCACGCTAGGTTGGGGAAGATTGGGAAAAGCTTCCTGGCAGAGGTGGCTTTCAGGTAGGCCAAAGAGACAGGAAGGATCGGGGTGCACAGAGAACTGGGGAAACCCCCTCAGGGAGAAGCAGAGGCCTGGAGGTGGAGATAAGAGGGTGCTCTTAGGGACAAGGGGATGCTGGAGGTTCTTTTGGGGAAGGGCACCTGGATAGCAGAGCTTGGATCCCAGGAGAAGTGGGCTCCAATTCTGTCCCGATTACTGAAAAGGCAAGTTACTAAACCTGCAAGGACAGTTTGCTCTCCTGTCCAAAAGGCATAAGGTAACAGCCTCTCTCTCATCACACAGTGGTAAGAACGCTCTAATGAGAAAGTGCCTGTGAAGTGTTGAGCAGAGCACCTGGCATTTAGTGATCACTCCGTTTGAACATCTATGGCTATCCCGTGCAGAAGTGAAAGGGCTTTTGCAGAGGAGGCTGGAATTGAGGTTGAGGACAAGAAACAGCAGGTGAAGGAGGCTTGAATGTAATTTGTGAGCATTGCGGAGAGGTGGGCATATTCTGGACTTAGGAAAGGGAGAATGCTCTTGAGTTTTTGTGGCTATTCTTGGGACTCCAGGCAGGTGCTTTCAGGCCAGCATATGTGTTTCCTTTCTCCCTTACAGTATAGTTTTTAAAAATGTTATTTCAATTAGTTCCCAATATTTAAAATTAGGGAGATGTCTCACAAAAATATGGACCTCATGGGAGGATTGCTTGAACCCAAATATTCCAGACCAGCCTGGATAATATAGGGAGAGCCCACCTCTGCAAAAACATTTAAAAAAAATTATCTGGGTGTGGTGGGGTATGCCTGTGGGCTTAGGTACTCAGGATGCTGAGGCGGGAGGATTGTTTGAGCCCGGGAGTTCGAGGCTGCAGTGAGCTATATGATATCATTGCACTCTGGTCTGGGTGGTGAAGCAATACCTGGTCTCAAAAATAAATAGTAAATAAAACTCTGGACCTCAGACTTTGAAATGGTTGATGGTCTGGTTGTTACTGAACCAAACTGGGGTCTGCTCATCTGGCACAGTAGGGCCAAATATCCACAGAGGTTCTGTTGTAGGAGAAATGAGAGCATTTATTTGCCGTGTGCCAAGCAAGGAGAATCAGGCAGCTCGTGCTTAAGACGTGGCCTCCCCAGTGGCTTGCCAACAGGAGTTTTTAAAGGCAGGGGTACATTTCAGAAAAGCAAAGTTAGAGGCAAAAGTGTAACTCAGTATGGAGGTTATATGTTGGTTTGGCCTAAAAGAGTGGGATATCTTGAAGCAGGCAGCCTATAAATCATGGGTAGATTTAAAGATTTTCTGATTTGCACCTGGCTAAGGAAGGGAAGCGTTGTCTACAGATTTGGAGTTAGCAGAAAAGAGTGTTGGATCCGGCCTGTGGGCGTGATCTCGTTCAGGTTCCTCAGGAAGAAATTTAGAACCAAACTGCAGTGAGAGCTCTGTCCTCAGCTCCTCCTTGTCTGAGGTCTGTGTGCCAGCGGATCCATTGGCTGGGGGTCCGGGTTTCTGAAACACAACTCAGGGACATATGTTAAGACATAATCTTTAGTTTCTGTAAGGGAACCAAACATTCTTGTGACTCTAACTTGGCTGTTGTTTCAGGCTATTACCTTCTTGCTTATCAAATTGCTCATTTACTTCTCAGGGTTAGCTGGGTGCCTAGAATTTCTCTTGAAGGAACTCAAGATTTTCCTTTGTTTCCGTGCTTGCAATTGGTGGGGAGCAAGCTCCTAGGAGGGGTCCCTGATGTATTTCATGGTAGCGCCAGCCTGCCCTGCCCTGAGAAGGGGCTGCCCTTTGATTCTCCTCTCCATTCCGCTGCGCTCCAGAGCCCCGCTCAGGTCTTCCCTCCCCTCTGGCCCCACTCCTGTCATTGATGGTACTTGCCTGGCCCCTGTAGGCATCTAAGTTTATGATTCCTGACACAGAGTGTCAGGACTGGAAGGGGCGCTGGACACCATCCAGTTGCAGCAGCTGACAGGTAGGAGCTCCGAGTACCTGCTGGGTTTGTGTCCGGGGCTTTCTGTAGTTCCTCTCATTTAAACTTCACAACGGGACTCGAAGCACTCGTTTGAAAGAGGACAGGGTAGCGCTAATACATTTCATAATGCTAGCATTTGACAGGCAAAATGAGACCACCTTGGACTGTTTTCTATTTTGCAGATATAAAAAGAAAGGAAAGAAAAATTACTGGAAAAAGCTGGATTTGTCCAAAGCAGAAACTGTGCCCTGGCTCCCCTCATGTCCTCCATGGCCATCTTGCTGACATTCTCCTGCCACATCCTCCGGAGATGCAAGCTCATCACACCCGTGATAAGAGCTGGCTCAGGATCAGGCCACTTTTGCACCCTGACCCCTGCAAGTCCCAGGTGTGAAGCCCCTTCCTACCTTTGCTCAATACAGGTATTAGGAACATCCAATCACGGCAGACCACAGGATGTGACTTCAACTCCAACCCTTTTTTTTTTTCTGAGACAGGGTCTCATTCTGTCATCCAGGCTGGAGGCAATGGTGCAGTGTCGACTCACTGCAACCTCTGCCTCCCGGTTCAGGTAGTTCTCCTGCCTCAGCCTCCCAAGTAGCTGGGATTACAGGTGCACACCACTACACTTGGCTAAGTTGTGTATTTTTAATAGAGGCAGGGGTTTCACCATGTTGGCCAGGCTTGTCTCGAACTCCCAACCTCAGATAATCGGCCTGCCTCAGCCTCCCAAAAGGCTGGGAATACAGGCATGAATCACTGCACCCAGCCACCTCCAGCTTTTAAAAACAAGTGCGTGGGCTGACAAGAGGCCCAAGAGAGCCTGGCAGCAATTCTTCCCATGTCCTTAGCTGGGAAGGGTTCATGGTTAATGTTGGAATGCAATTTTAAGTGTGGAAAAAAAAAAAAAAAAAAAGAAATGGAAACCGAACAAGCAATTGGCTGTTTTATTTATTTACACTACAAGAAGAAGAGTTTAGAAAAATTTCCCAGAGGGAGGAGGTGTAGGTATTAGGAGAGGCGGTGCTATTGGGCTTAGAGTCTGGGTTTAGGAACCCAGTCTGCCTTGTTTAAATCCAGACTCTGCTCTTTACTAGCTGTGACTTATAGCAAATCATTAAGCCTCTCTGGCCTCAGTTTTGTTATCTGTAAATGGGACGATGATAGCCACAATCAGCGCTATTGTGAGGACTGAATCAGTTATTTCGTATAAAGCATGTAGAATCATCTTAGGCTCTAAGGTGCTATACAAATGTTAGCTGTCCTTATTAGCCTGATTCTCACCTGGGCCAGGCAAATGAGGATTGAAAGCCTTGGAGGGAAAATTGGGATGAATGTGAGATGTTCAAGTTCTTTACAAAGAGCCTCAACATCCAAAGATAAAGAAATGCTGAGCTAGAGGGAAAATGATTCCTGGCTTAAATAAAGAAAAAAAAACCCAGCTAAGTATTAAACCAGGTAGTTGGAGAAAAGTCAACAAAGGCAAGAAAAAAAATGAGAGAGAGAGAGAGAGAGAGAGAGAGAGAGAGAGAGAAGGAAATAAGCCAGTATGGGTAAGTTCATAGAGGAAGAATGGCCCTTAAAATCAGGGACATCACCGGGGGAGGAAGGAGGTGAAGTTTGCAAATTCAGAATGGTCTTGCTGAGCCATCCTTTATGGGGCCCATGAGTGCTCTGTGTTTAATCCCATGACTGCCCTGTGTTTAATCCCATGATTGCCCTGCGTTTAATCCCATGACTGCCCTGTGTTTAATCCCATGACTGCTCTGTGTTTAATCCCATGACTACCCTGTGTTTAATCCCATGACTGCCCTGTGTTTCTTGGTGAGTTGCTTTTATTTTCTCTGGTTCTTCAGCAGGCAATCTCTCACGCACAGTTGACTCTCACTTGCTCTAGGGCCTTCAGCCCAGCTGTGAGCCCAAATCCAGATTGAATGGCAAGGATACACCAAGGCTGTATGCAACACTGCCCAATTATTGTGGCTTTCTCTGATCCCAGACCAAACAAACAAACAAACAAACAAACAAAAAACAAAAAAACCTATTTTCTTTGTTTCTCCAGCAACATATCAAGCAAATGAATTTGAAACCAAATTGAGCACATGTAGTTCATATTTTCAAACGTGATGTTTTAGGGGAATCTAGACCAAACCCAAATTTCCTGAATGCAAAGCTCTGGGTTCTTTGGAGTCAGAATTGATGGTAGTCACTTCCTCTGCTAGGATCCTGTCAGGAGTAGGTCAGCCCCAGGGTACTCATTCACATCAGGCAAGCCATGTCCTCTGTCAGCCAGCCCTAGGCTTCCTGAGCCAAGGTAGTGCTCTGGGATCTAGAAGAGCTGAGTTTCCTCTGAGGATGTATTTAGGACCAGATGTGATAGAAGCATCCTTCATCATCCTCTTAATGAAGGGACTAGGATTAGTTGAAGCTGGGGTCCTGTCCATGGGACCCATTTAACAGCAGGCAGGATCACTTAGGATTTGATGAAGAAAGTTGTATTATTAATTTCTTAAATAGCTGGCAAGGGAGAGGCTGCTAATTACGAGTTGGACAGATGAGAAGATGAAATTGGAGAGTCCCAACTGAAGGGAGAAGGCTTGTTTTCGCTGAGCTATAGAATATTAACCACTTACTAGGCACAGTGCAGCAAGGAAGGCCCAGCGCACGGAGGTGATTTTTTTCGGGGCTGTTTCGGAGGGAACTGCAGTTGACAAAAGGCTGTCAAATCTGGCCTTGTGTGGTGCATGGGGAGGCAGAGGGTGGAGGCCAGGCCCTGGGAGCAGGAGAGCTGGGGTCACCCTCCAGCTTCCCCCAGGTGCAAGCAGGTCCCTCCAGGAACTTTCCCCTCCATCCCTGAGGCTGTGGAGTGGTGTGTAGCATGGACTTGGATGCTGTAGCTTCAAAGGGTCAGATGCCTCCGAAGAACTGAGAGCAGGGGATGCCTTAGGACAATCTGCATGGGCTTCAAGTGAATAGTCTAGGTTCAAATGAGGATGCAGTGTGGATGGCCATTGCCAAGTGTATTCAGTTAGCGGCCTGCCTCAGACCTTTTCCCTTCTGAATCAACAGAGACAAGGGGATATACTTGCCGCCATTTTGGTGAAAATCCAAAAGCAAAATAGATTAAGATGCTGCTGTTTCTAACCAGCCAACCCATGGTTTCTGAACCATGAAATGAAAGCATTGTTCCTCTGTGCATTCTGACAATGCCACCATTTCTAATCTCAGCAAGTTTAATCCCCATGTGTATAATGATTTAGAGCCAAGGTGACTTCTCCTTCTAAACCCTCATACTTCTCTTTTGTTCTTCAGGGATTTAGTGTGATTGCCATGTTTGATGTAATAAAGTTTGCCATTTAAATTTTGCCCTCCTCAGCAAAAGCAATGGCTGAAGCCAATGTCTCTCTAAGGAGAATGAAGGTAACTAACCCTGGGTGAGTAAGGAAGAGAGATCTCATTTTAGGGTGGGAAAATGCTCAGATATGTAGAGGCTGTACCAACATGCTGGAGAGCTGGGTCTCTAGTTGAGTTGACATTGGGAGACGGGCATCCATTCAAAGTTGGATAAATAAACATGTATGAAGGATAGAGCAGGCAGAGTTTTATGTTGTCTTACTTTGTAGGAATGATGAGATAGAGTCTCTGTACATGAATAAGATGTTCCTGACCCTCTATTCCCTAAACAGTCTATATATCCTAATTGTTCCACAAGTGAATTTGGGTTTGTACTGAGTCCTCCCTACTTTACCTAGTTTGTCCTTTGATGGGCGTGGTGATGGAATTGATGAAGAGGATGGTGGGGTCCCCAATTTATGCAATCATTTAGTTTCTTCATTCATTTATTCACTCATCAAAGATTTACTTTGTGCCTCCTGTATACAACACATGGAAAATGCAAATATAAGGAAGAGAGAGCCTTTATCCTCAAGAGCCTCATTCCAGGGTGGGACCAGGCACTCCAAGGATTTCTATACATGATAAGGATATAAGTGACATTCAAGAAGGGCAAATAAAGTGTTTTGAAAGTACAGGTGAGGAGAGGAAAGGGAATAAGGGCATTTGAGCCAACATAAAACTTGTTCAAGCATCTATGATTGAATGATCAAGATCATCATTGATTGAATGATCTTACTCAACCAAGCCAGAAATCTGCAAGGCATCGTAAGTATCCTTGGTTCATGTACTCCTCTTTTCCCTTACCATACACGTCCAACCAGTCAAGAACCCTGTTAAGTCAACTCCTGATATTCCCTCCATTTTAAGGGGCGCCATTGTAAGGTTGCATTGGAAGGTCCGCTGTTGAGTTATCACTTTTTGAACAAAACGTAAGAATCAACACCATCCCATTAACTGCATGTATTATGATATCAGAAAAAAATAAAGGTACTTCTTAAACTAGATGAAGGATGGCATTTCTTGACTTCTCAACCTTCACTCTGTCCCTACTGCCATTGCCTTCAATCGAGGCCTCCATCATCTCTCATCTGATGAGTGCAGCGATTTATGAACTAACCCTTCATTTTCTAACATTCTCCTCAAGTCTGTATAGCACTCAACCCTAAGAGAGCTGTTGAAATATTAGTCTGATTACCAATACTCATTCTCACCTGCTCAAAATCCTTGAATCCTTGTCTCCTACAGATTCTCCATCCATGGGTTCTCAGTTTTGTGTCCACCTCTCTTCCTATCCCCTTCCCAACTTGAGCTCTGTGCCTCAGTAATCCTGAATTGCTTGTTTCATGCCGCTACCCCAGCAAACCATGCCTTTGTATGCTCCTTGCCTTTGCCCATGCTGGGCCCTCAGGTGGAATGCTCTCACTTTCGTTCCCTTCTCTCATCTCTGCCTGTACAACACCTGTACAGACCCAGCTCAAGCACCAAGTGCACGGACCTTGAGGATGAGAAGCCAGTGTCCCTCCTCTGCAGTCACAGTACTTTGTCCTCATCACATTTTACAGAAACGATCTGTGCATGTACTCATCTCCCTCCAGACTCTAATCTCTTCAAGGACAGGAACTGTGCTGTATTTATATTTGCATTTCTGCTGTTCAGCCCAAAGTCTGGCACATGGTCAGGGCTTAGCAAATGCTTTGTTGAACTGGGCTGAGTGGGCTAGGAACAGGACACAGCAGAGATTGAACATATGACCTTGGTTTCATAAGCATTTAGTGCTAAGCAGTGAAGTCCACAGCCCCACGACTGGCAAGACTGACTGTCTTGAGCACGAGGGTGAAATGTAGCTGGGATCAGCATTCTCCAATGTGGGTGACCCACATAGGCCTTGTGGTTAAAAGGCAACTGTCCCAGATAGCATGAGCTAGTGGACTATTTCTGCTGCAGCTTCTCCTGGGGGAATAATTTCAGAACCTCTTTCCTGGATATGCTGGGTTAGAATGGTCAAAATTATGACTTGGGGTTATTAGAAGATATATTGGGATGATTCTTGCAAATGCGTGACATCTGCTCCGTTAATTTTATCTCTTTAATCTTAGACAATTCTCATAGATAGAAGCCCTCCATCTTACATCACCCAACCAGAAGACCCAGATACTGTGTTGCTTGTAGTAAATGCCACCTTGACATGGGAACATGAAGCCAGCAGGAAAAGTGACCCAAAGAAAGTGCAGAACCTGAAGAGGCATTTATTCAAGAAACAGCGGTCGGACGCATTCAGTGAATGGAGTCCACCAGCCAAAGGAGCCGCTGGCCCAGAGGAGCAAAGAGGCACCCCCAAATTGGTTCTGCACACGTAAGCTTTGTGGTGAGAAAGGTGGGTGTGTGTTGCGCAGGTGTGGCCTCCAGCCCTCCTCCTTGCATTGTGTAGCTACGGCCTTCCCCAAGTCTGATTCAGTTCAGTTAGAGTGGGAGGTGGTGATGGGATGTCTCTAGCCAGAGTCCCTGTATTATTCCCCTAATTTTAAAACTATGTACATGAACATTGGAGACCCCCTCTCCAAGCGTGGAGAAGATGGTGGTTATATTCATTCTGATTTGCAGGGCTTCCCTTGGAGTCAGTTGCAATTTTGAATGAACAGTCCACTCCAGGTTGCTAGGCTTGAACTGACTAGCTTTCATAAATCTTTTTATATTTGTTCTTTTCTCATGAGCGTGAGACAGGGTCTTACTGTTTCCCAGGCTGGAGTACAGTGATGCAATCAAAGCTCACTGCAGCCTCAAACTCCTGGGCTCAATGGACCTCCTACCTCAGCCTCCCAAGTAGCTGGGACTACAAGTATGCATCACCATGCCCACATAATTTTTTTAAATTTACCAGGGGAAAGTGATAATTTTTAAGTTAAATTTTATTTTATTTTTTGGAAGAGATTTCAGAACCTCTTTCTTGCTGTTTCCCAGGCTGGGCTTGAACTCCTGGCCTCAAGTGATTCTCCTGTCTTGGCCTCCTGGGTCAAGCACTGGGATTATAGGCATGAACCACTGCTCCTGGCCTAGATAGGTTCTTAATTTCACATTGGAATATGACGATAGATAATGATGACTGAAAATTGTGAACACTACTATTTACCAGGTACATAATAAACTCACGTTACCATCCCAATAACCAGGCATCACAACTGCCCCCACCTGATGATTGAGAAGCCTGAGGCACAAGAGTGTTAAATAGCTTGTCTGAGGTCACTAACTAGCAGTGGCAGAGGAGGGTTTCATACCCAGGGCACCTGGTTTCAGAGTCTGGGCTCTTAACCACAGGGAAATACTCCTCTTATAAGAAGCAAACTGAGATCAACAAGCAATCCGGCCAAGACCTAAAGGTCTAAGCCAGCCAAGCCAGCCACAGTCTGTTGGCTGTTCCCTCCCTCAAGATTGGGGGAGGGAGATTTTAGGCCACACTGTGGATTTAGGGAATGTTTGGTCTCCTCCTGCATCTCCCGCGTGCCTCTGCTTCTTGCTCTGGGAACTCAGCAGTGCGCTCCAGGTAGCAGTGTTGATTTAGCTGCAGAGGGCCCAACATTAATCTTGTGCCTAGTATTTTAATCTCTCACCTTGTTGACTCACTCTTTCCCTGTACGAGCATGGCAGAAGGAAAGGGTCTCATTTATTATGCAATGTCAAGCTCAATAGCCAGTGTGAGAACAGTACTGTCGTAGCTAACGAGGCTGACTGCCACGTATTCATTGGAAACAATATTTGGTTGGCTGAGTACAGTTAGCTCAGATTTCAGCTAAGTCCTACCGAGTGCCACCTACTTTGCCTTCTTGTCACTTTCCCTGCAGAGCACCAGACTTCCCCCACCCTGCCTTCCCATTTGCCTCCGAGAGGCCTCCATGAACTCCCTGGTGCTCTAAGGACATTGCCTTCTAGCCAAGAAATGGTTTTACCGACGTGATGAAAAGTGTGTCGGTGACTCCAGAATTCGTGCCTCAAGGATACAGTCAATGTTTTGTGGAATAAATTGAAGTTACAGTGTGGCACTGATGAAGTGTATTGCCTCTGGAACCTGGGGGACCCTAGTTCCAGGCCCAGCCACTTTCTAGCTGCTTGACTTTGGACATCTTGCCGAAGCTCCCTGAGCCTCTGTTTCTTTACCTGTGCCATGCATTTCATAGAAGTACCCATTTCACAAGGTGGTTGTGAGAACTCAGACACCACATAAAAATGCTAAGCCCGTAGTTAGTGTCAACTGATGTTAGGTACGGTTGTTGCCTTTTTCTTTAATAATTATGTCCAGCCTAAGTGCTGCCCTCAAATGTTCGACATTCAGCACGCCCAGGTTTTTCCAAGTTTAGCTCCTCAATTCCGTTAGACTGGATCCTCCATGGGATCAGGGTTTTTTATTCACAGTTAGGTCCTTATCTCTAAGCCCAGCGCCTGGCTCGGACGTTGCCGACAATGTTGTTGGGTGAAGTGTCAGAGGATACAGGCCTCGTGGATATTTTGCTAAAGACAAGGATGAATCTAGAAGGCTCCTTCCTTGCCCCCAAGAGGTGGACAGGACTCAAAGGGCAACCAAGTACCTAGTGAGACTAGATCACATCTGTGGTCTCTTTGTCCCCAAGTCTCCATGATGCCCCAGTTTCTTGAAGCCCTTTTAGGGGAAATAAATAGAATCAACTTCATTTACATGCATATGGGCTCCACAAAGACAGAGTGGCCTCTGCGTGGATCACTATTTTATCCCAAGGTGCCTGGGATTCAGCAAAGACATGGTCTAAGAAATTATTGATGACAGGCAGCAACTCTCATGTGTTGCAAGTAGCAGAGAGGTGATGGCCCTTTCTGGTCTAGCTTGGGGTGGGGAAAAAAGCCATATTTGGCCCCACGTTGGGCATCTTTGCCCTACCGATTACAGGGAGCAGGCCTGCATGCGAATGTTCTTAGATGCTCCAACTGCAGAACTGCAGTATCTGTTTGAACCCGAGAGCGGTCCTGCTCCCACCTCAGTCTCCACACACGCTGTTGGCCTGCAATGATTCTCCCCAGATATCCCCGTGGCACCCTTCCTCACCTCCTTCAGGTCTTACCCAAATGTCACCTGTGGCAGATGCTGTTCCTGCCTATGTGCCCTGGACCTCTAAGTGTTTCCTGGCCATCTTCCAGCTGCCTTATCTGCATCTGTGCCCGAGGGCTCTGCACACCTCCATAAAGACCTTCACAGACAAGAGAGCAGGCCTCAAACAATGACTGCTGGGGCCTCAATACCCCAAGTCTTTCTGCCATTGGGTGGGACAAAGCCGTACTCAGTTCCCCAGAGCTCCCTCCAGTTTCCCTGCAGGGGTGAGTTCCGTTTGCCTCCTGGGTAGGATATTCTGCTAGGGAGCCAACCCAGTAGGCTGCTCTTTTTGGGCCACCTTTCCTCTCCTGTATCACTTTCCCTCTTCCCTGCTGGAATTTCCTGTACCTTCCAAATGTGAGTGTGACTTTCATTCAAATCCTTGATTCAAGGTCTGTTTCTGGGACAACTCAAGCTAAGACATCTACCTTTCCAGTATGGCTTTCATGGCACCCCCGAGCCCCCAGTCCACTCCTTGTCTCTTCTCTGCTTTCGTTTTCTCCGTGGCAAGCATAGATGTGCCTGCCCTACATTTCACTTACTTGTCTTGCTTCCCGTCCCTCCCCCCATGACTACAAAGTAAGCTCCATGAGGGCAGACTCAGGCCTTTGCCCGCTGTGTTCATTGCTGTTCTTGCTGGTGCTTGGAACAGTGCCTGGCACATAGCAAGCTCTAATAATGATTTGTTGGTTGAATTGATAAATCTTCAGCTTTAGAATGTTAGAATAGTGTAACTTCTCAGTAATTCCAGATTGCGTTGTTATGGTGGAGGATTCCACAAAAAAAACTTTTTTTTTCAACAGCTCCTAGATGTCCATACTTCAAAAGCTACCCTAATCGCCCTGGGTTATACAACCTTTTGTGTCCCATTAGATTTGCTTTCCTGGAGTCTGAACACAGAATAGTCTTCATCTTCAGGGCCTGTGTCTCCCAGACCAGCACAAGGCTGTTTCACATCAGTGATCTTACATGATTTCTAGAAGCCCTCTGGATGCTTGGCTATGCCACACAAGGGAAAGCACTTAAGACTTACATTCCTGCATCCTCCCAGGCTGTGTGTGTGTGAGCAGGGGTGGGGTGACTGAAGTTGTCATGCCCCAGAGCCTGCGGTGACCCCTTGGTCTCCACCTGGCCTGACCAGCACAGTTTGGGAGCAGCACGTTTGGACCAGATTCTCTAGGAAGTGGGAGAGAATGACCGTGTCCCATCTCTGTTTCTCTGGCAGGGAAAGATCTTGGGAATACGAAGTGGGAAGAGCTCTCTCCTTGCAGCTGTCCTAGGACAGGTAAGCTGCGTGATAAGTGCTGTGAAGATGGGACATTAACATGGCAATGAAATGGCTCCCTTCCGGCCAGGTGTGGTGCCATCAGAACAGTGGACCCAGCGGATGGGCTAGGCTGCACTGGACACTATGGGTGTGGTTCACGTTCATTTCTGGGAGGTTAATTCACTCAGCAGCTCCAGGGCCCTGGGCCAGATGAGGCCGAGTTTTTCACACACTCTTGAGTTTGCCCTCTGAGGAAGTGTGTTGAATGGTGATTGCTTCGTTGCCTAAAGCTCGATGGTGGTCAAAGGAAAGATGGGTCCTTAAACCCATGGTTTTCTCCATGACTGGGGCTGCCCTGATTTAGAAATGCCAGCAAGGCAGCTTGGTGATGAAGGACTTTGGCATCTGGAACTCACGGTGATTATAGAGATATTTTATGTGTGAACTAAAGCAGCTTGTGCCCCCAGCTTCTGCATACCTTGGGGTAGGAAGAGGCAGGGGACTTGGGTCCTTGCCCTTTCTGTACTCCTTCTAGTTGGGTGACCCCAGGGAAAACAGCCAAGCTGTCTGTAGTTTTCACAAACCTCTGTGTCACCATGGTTTTTAAGTCACATCCCACATGAATGAGTTTTGTGGGAAAAAAAAATGCTAAGTCCTCTTTCTCCCCGCCCCCCCCCACCGCTATTGCTAAAGGGAAGTTTGGGTAGATGGGATTACCTCTTTCAGGAAGAGGTCGGGGTTCTTCTGAAGAAGTGGGGATAACAGAATACGGTGGTGGGGGGATGTGTCTTACAAGTTTTAATACGAGTGACTTCTTTTGGCCTCGGTTGACTCATCTCTGGAAAGAATGACAACTGCTTCCCTTCATGGAGGCGGAGGTGGGGGTTGAATCGGGTGAGTTCTTGAGGTTCCCCCACATTCTGAGAGTGTGTGCCTCCATGATGAGTCAGTGGAAGCCATAGAGGTGACTCAGCTCAATTCTCCACTTAATGATGTGAATACTCTTGATAGCATCCTACTGCATAAGGGATGGTCCAACTTCGGCTCAGATAGCTCCAGTGATGGGAAACTCATCATGTCACAGCCAGGTCCCTCTTTGGAGAGTTTTGATGTATATTGGAGTGAAATTTGCCTCCTTTTAATTTCTGTCCTTGGGAAATTTTGAGATAACATTGAATCTAACTCCCATGCAACAGTGGTAGGATCAGGCCCCCCACTGCAGCCACTGGGGAGGAAGGTGGGCACTCTGGACTGCCTGGGTTCCCCAGCTGCTTCTGCCACATGCTTACTGCTTAGCTTTGGGCAGGTAACTTAACCTCTCTGAGCCCCATACAACCTCTTGGTTTCCTTGTCTGTAAAATGAGGCTAAGGAGAGTTGCGGTGAGGATTGAATGAGATTATGTAAGTAACAGTGGGCTACAGGATAATTTTCAAGGCCAGTCATGGTGATAAACTTTGAGCATACACTTAATTCAGTGCATGGAATATACTCTACACATTAAAAACACTATGATGACTATTGTTATCATCATGGTCTTTTCTCCAAATTGAATTCTCTGTCCCTTGTGCAGTTCCTGAGGTGAAATGACATCACATCCTTTGGCTGCCTTGGCGACTCTCCCTCTCTGCCCCTGGACCCCTGCCACTGCCCCGTGAGCATCAGCCCTGAGTGCTGTGGCCTGCCCCACATGTCGCCTCTGTTGATAGCTTTGAACGTTGCATCCCCACGAACGTCTACCGTTGTCTATTGGATGCCCGCCATGAGGGATCATCTTAAATGAATGTATGTACTCAGGGTCACAAACTGGAGACCATGCATAGTTTTAATTGCTGAATGTTTTAAAAGTCCAAAGCTTTCATATACAACTGGATCTTTGACTCCTCTTGACAAATTAGCAACTCCTGCCCCATCAGGCCTGCATCCTTGCATGCCACCACTGATGCAACTGAGTTAAGGCGGCTTCCTGAAGGTGCGGCTAGCACCAACAGCTGTGCAGGCTGTGCCCTGCTCCCAGGAGCTGGCTGAGCAGGTTGGATCCAGCCAATGCACCTGGAGGAAGGGGAGCCTCTTGTGAAGAGTCTGCTCAGAGGACATCCTGTTATAGTCCGGCCCAGGTGCCATGTGCACTGCGAGCAGCCCTGCAGTCCAAGCTCTCCAGTTTGCAGCAGGGCTCACCACTGCCTCTTTTTAAACATTCCCTGCTTGGCCCTATGCAGGTGTTTGATTCTGAGATTCTCCACCTGCATGGTTGGGCTTTCTGGTGCTTGGATAAGATGTTCTGTTGACGCTTTTGCACCTTTGTAAGCAATGCTCATGAAATCGGTGGGTGGCCGGATGCAATGGGCACTTGGGAAAAGTCCTCAAGGCTTGGCTCCTGAAGCTTCTCTGGTCTTGCTGCTCCATATGCACCTGCGCCAAGGGGTGGTGGCAGTCCGTGGAACTTTGGCCTACGTTCCACAGCAGGCGTGGATCTTTCATGGAAATGTGAGAAAAACACATTCTATTTGGAGAAAAGTATGATCGCAAAACGTAATATTAACTTTCAAAGCAAGAGGCACATTTGTGTTTGGTATGCACTCTCCTACGGATGCCGATGCCGTTGGTAATGACTGCTAAGTGGGTTCTGAATTTAATGAGTTCTGATTAAACATTCATCAGATCCACAAAGACACTGGTTGTCTTCTTCCTGAGCCAGGCATTCAGGAGAGGCAACTTCTGCAGACCTGTGACTGCACACTGGGAACAGGATAGAATTGGCACTTCGTTCCCAGGGCAGAGGAGCATACGTTCCGAGGTTCTCTGCAACAGGACATATGTGGCCTGACTAGAGAAATAGGAATCCAGCAATTTTGCTTTAGGCTGAGTACCCAAAACTGCTTGAAATCATGAGCAAGTATGTAATGAATCAGCCCTGACATTATGAATCGACATCAGAGCTCTGAGGATATATTATCACCGTTAGTGTCCACAGAATGATCTAATCAAATAAAAACAAAGCTCAACTTATACTTACTCAATTTTTTTATGTTGTTTTATTTTTAAATGGTTACATCTATCTATGGGGTGCACTTTTATGTTTTGATACATGATGCTGGGGGAGAGGGGAGCATGGGGAAAAAAGAGATGTTGACCAAAGGGTACAAAGTTTCAATTAGACAGGAGAAATAGGCACTAGTGACTTATTGTACACAATGGTGACAGTAATACATTTTAATGCATTATATATTTCAAAAGTACTAAATGAGTATATTGTAAATGTTTTCAACACGAAAATTGCGAGTATTATTTGTAATAACCATAGTACGTAACAAACAGAGAGCAATTTGGGAAGAAATATTTTCTCTAAGAACATTTAACAACTGATTAATTCCATAATCACCTTGGATATTTCTAGAGTGATTCTCTCCCTACTTCTGAAATGTTTGATTTTTCTAAATTTTAATTTTAATGGAGATTCAGGGGATACAGGTTTGTTACAGGGGGACATTGTGTGATGCTGAAGTTTGGGTTTCTACTGCTCCTGTTCACTTTCTAGTGGACGTAGTACCCAAGAGGAAGCTGTTCATCCCTGCACCCTCTCACCCTCCCTCCTTTTGGAATCCCCAGTGCGTGTTGTTGCTGTCTTTACGTCTGTGCATACCTGAGGTTTAGCTCCCACTTATAAATGAGAACAAGTGAGATTTGGTTTCCTGTTTCTGTGTGAATTTACTTAGGATAATGAAGTCCAGCTGCATCCATGCTGCTACATGATCTTGTTCTTTTTATGGCTGCATAGTATTCCACGGTGTATGTATATCGCATTTTCTTTATCCAATTCACCATTGATTGGACCATCATCTTTAAGCTCTGGAAAGTAATGGCTTCTTATGGTTCTTTGCTTAGCTTGGTGTATTGCTATGTACATTCTCTCATTTAAGTCCCATAACCACCCATTTAGGAGGATCCTGGCATTATATCCCCATTTTATAGATAAAGAAAAAGGCCCAGAGAGGCGAGTTGACCCTCCCAAGGTACTAAGTGCTATTAAATGTCGAGTTGAGTCTTGGACTTAGACTTTGAGCCTCAGATTAGCATCAGCTGCCTGTAGCTGGAGCTTCCTGACAGCTGGGTCACTCAGAAACCTTCCCAGGCATCACAATGCTGAATGAAGAGAATTGGAGTTAGTACTAGGAATCTAGCTATAAGCTCTCCAGCAATAGTTTGACCTTTCCCATCTTACCCACCAACTCTGTCCCTGCTGCTGGCATGGCCAGCATATATGTTCCCAGGAAGAGGCTTGTCAGCTACCCCTTCTTCCCTGGCCATGTTCTCCTGTGGCCAGGAGGCTCAGGTGTGGCAGGGAGGTGATCAGTGCAGGAGTCAGTGATCAGTGCGGCCAAATTACTCTGCTCATCATCTCTTGGCCAGTGCCACTCACCTGGAATGCCTTCTTTTTCTGTAGAAGTGGACTGGACAGAGGGTTGCCTTATTCATCAAAATGACGTTCAGAGGGCAAATGTGTGCCAAATGCCTGCAGCATGCAGGGCAACATGGGGACAGAGATGGCTCAGGTGTATGTTTGCCCTTAAGATACTCAAGCCTGGAAGGAGCTATAAGAAATGCACAGAAATGACAGTGCACCCGGGAGGGATGTGCCAGGTGGCAGGAGACTGTGCTCGGATTGTTCCAAGTCGGCAGAGATCACAAGAGAATGGTGGATCAGGGAAGAGAGGGTGGCACTTGAATTGGGCTTTGAAGGATGGCTCTAGCATCCTTCATATGTGGCGTGGATAGCAGAGATTCTGCTCTTGGGGCAGAAACTGTGGCTCTCAGGGCCATAGAAAGGAGGAGGGTGGGAGGAAATTGAAGGTGGGAGGGGTTGAGGGGAGGAAGATGTGCTGAACAGTCTGAGTCTTGTAGTCGCAGATTGGCAAATGTAGTAATAGTAATAATCGCCCCTACTGTCCCCTGTCCACTGAGAAATAATAGTTGCAGATTGGCAAATGTAATAATAGCAATAAAAGCCCCCCACTGTCCATAGACTGGGGAGTGGGGCCTCAACTTCCCCAGGGAGCAGAGGCAGCGGATTAGCCTGGCCCATACCGTCTACTCTGACCATCAGCTGTACCTGCTGGACGACCCCCTGTAGGCCGTGGATGCCCACTTGGGGAAGCACGTCTTTGAGGAGTGCATTAAGAAGATGCTCAGGGGAAGACGATCGTCCTGGTGACCCACCAGCTGCAGGTGATGGGACATGCAGGATCCAGCAGGTCATGGGATGGGTGTGGCTGGTGCCTGTTGCTCACAGAGCCTCCTTTTCTGCCTAAATCTACCTGCCTTCAGCTGGGAATGTGGGGAGAGAGCCAGGGATGCAAGAGACATTCATGCTTCCCCAGCCTTCCTGGCTCCCAGGAGCCCTGCCTGCTCCATTCCGTGTATGGCCTCAGTGGGGCCAAGACCTCTCCTGCACCAGAGGGTAGAGTCTCTAGAAGAAATTAAATCCTGCCTGTGGGTGGACTGGGGCACTTTTCCCCCAGTTCTGGGCACTTGGTAAGATGGGGAGCCAGGGAAGACAATGAAGGCCCCACCCTTCCTCCAGCAATTCTGGGCAGACCTGAGGCCAGGGGCGCCTTATCTGGGGGTTTCAGGTAGACCCCTTCAATGAGGGGCCCAGATGCCTGAAGCATCACATCCCAGGGGAAAGGGACTAGAAGTCAGGACTTTGGGACTAAGGCTGAGGCTTTGGAGAAGGTGTCTCTGCTCAGAGCTACTCTCTCAGGCTAAGGAGCATGAAACTTACTGAAGAAAGTGACTGGGCTTGACCTGAGTGAATTTGAGAATTTGGCAGGGTAGGGACAGTCCTCACCACATTGGTCCCACGTAAGGGATCCTGAACGCCTGGTGGGAATCCAAGAACATCCTCCTCCCAGGGCAGGTTTCCCTGCTTCCAGACCGTTCCCTCTCCCCTCTTTGTATGGAGTCCCCAGAGATGTGCAGGGGAAAGGGTGTGGTGCACGTGTGTGTACATATGTGTTCATGTGTGCACATGGGTGCCTCCTTGCCCGACGAGAGAGTCCTCGGGACTGACTTATGTTGAGAGGCCCTACTGGGTCAGGAGAGCAAGAGTCCTGCTTTCTTTACTCTCCTGATACCTGCAGAGAACATGTTACATAAGGACCTGGTCTGGAGGCAGGAGGCCGGTCTCATTGCCTTGCAAGGGTAAGTCAAGTGGGGGTGGAGAGGGAGGGACAACAGCAGCAAATAAGGTTTCCATGGCTACAGGACGCTACAGCCAGCATTTTAGGACCATCCAGTAGTGGCCAGGAGGACCAGCTTGAAGACTCTGTAAAACCAGGTTTTCCCATTGCTGTGACGCTGCCCCTAGCTTGAGCCCAGCCTTTGCCCAGGGCTACAGTTCTGGCACTGGAATAAGCTCCAAACATACGAATTTTGCACATGAGGATTGTCTGGATTTCCTCCGAGTGGGCCTGAGCACCTCCAGAAAGCATCACACTGGACTGGTGCGGACAAGACCTCCTGGTTCTTCTGGCCTAGTTCTCCTTCTGAGGAGTTACCATGCAGGATGAGGTTGGATTTCAAGACCCCCATGAAGTGACTACAAACGGGCTCTGGTCCAGCCCAGACACTAAACATGGCAGCCCCTGCTCTGTACCGGGAATGTCCCTGGAGATACCCTGAAGCAGGAAGGGCTGTCCTCTGAGGGCTGTGGGGACCTGGAGGGGGATGCCTTGTCTCTACAGATGTGGGTCACAGCTGTCCCTCCAGGAGTCCTCATGAGGGGAATCATAACCTCGGTCCTGATCCAGTCTTTGAAACTGACTGACCAGTAGTATGACCTCAGGCAGGAGCTTTCTTCACACCGGGCCCACCTCCTCAGTCTACCTTCCCCCGTCATTTTATCTCACTTTTTGCATGTTGGAAGAGGCAGGCAGCCACTAGGTGGCACTGGATCTTGGTCCCACTGTCCCTTGTCAAGGAGGATGGGACTCAGAGCCCCAGACCTGGGCCCTGGGGCTTTTCTAGAGCCCATCCTCTCTGCCTCTGCTCTTACTCTCAGGCCCATAGGCAATCTGGGTGCTTCTGAGTGGCTGGGGTGGAGGATCGCTTTTCTAAGGAAACAAGTGGAAAGTGCCTGGGAGCGGCCACTGAAATCCAACCCAAGGGCAGATTCCGTGATGGTTTGCAGAACAGAGCTGCTCAAATCTGCCTCATATCTCTGGAGTGCACTGGGGACTTGCTGGCCAGAGGGGGCCTCCCTGGGGGCTCCTGGAGCTGGAGTGTGTGCTGTGGCACAGGCAGAAAAGGCCGTGAGACTGGAACAGGCTTACGGTGCCTCAGTTTCCCCATCTGAAAAATGAGCTGATAAGACAGGGAGCTGGGCAGTCAGTGGGAGGGAGGAATGAGGGCTGGAGCTGTCCAAGCTGTTAGAACTGCTATCATTCCGCCTTTGGGTATCCTCCCTATTCGCTGAATCAAGTGTACAATGACCGAACGTAGCTATTTCAAGCTTGTAATCAAGACCAGCAGAGGTTGATTTGACCTTGGATGAATGTGCAGTATCGGGGAAAACCTCTGGCCCGTACTGCAAAGGCTTCTTTAGGTCAAACCATTTTCAATTTCAGCATCTTGCCTACCTCTAGGAGGGAGCTTCCTTGATCCTGTGGGGAGGGCTCTGTATCTCATTCCAAAATGAAAGGAAACCCCTCTTAGTAGAACTCCTTGATCTCAGGAATGATATGGAAATGAAGGGAATTCAAATTAAAAAACAAAAACAAAAACAGAAGTGCTTTGAGCAAAATGTGGGATGCCAGCATTAAACGTAGCTATGTTTTTCTCTCATACATAAAGCCAGTGTAAACATCTCAGGCCAGGGAAGGCGGCCAGTTGTCTGGGGACGGCACTGTTGTCTGCTTCTCTGGGGTAAACGGGGATGATGAGGGAGCCTTGTCATGTTAGAACAGGGGAAGGCCTTCCTGAAGATCGTATTTCCCCTCCCTAGTAAGTACTGGCTGCAGTGACTGTCAATTTTATTTTCCAAATCTTCATGATCAGTTTTCTATTTATTTATTTATTTATTTTTTGAGACAGAGTCTTGCTCTGTTGCCCAGGCTGGAGTGCAGTGGTGCCTTCTCAGCTCACTGCAACCTCTGCCTCTTGGGTTCAAGCGGTTCTCCTGCCTCAGCCTCCTGAGTAGCTGCTTGATTATAGGTGCGTACCCCCACACCTGGCTAAGTTTTGTATTTTTAGTAGAGATGAGGTTTCACCATGGTGACCAGGTAGGTCTCGAACTTCTGACCTCAGGTGATCCACCTTCCTCAGCCTCCCAAAGTGCTAGGATTACAGGCATGAGTCACTGTACCCGGCCATGGTCAGATTTCTTAGGAAGGCAGCTCATTTAAGGGGCAGTGGCAAAGGAAGATGCAGTGTGCTTTTCTGTGACAGCCAAAGGCTGGTGGGTTTTTTTTGTACTCATGAGACCTGTGTGTACTCGATGAGTGGGTCTCTGTTGGGGCCAGTCTGCCCCCAGGAGGCACTTGGCAGTGTCTGGAGACATCGTTGCTTGTCACACCTCCGGGAGGGGGTGCTGCCCGCATCTGGTGGGTAGAGGTCAGGAAGATTGGTAAATGTCCCACAGTGCACGGGACAGCCCTCACAAACAGAGAATTATCTGGCCCCTAACGTCAACCATGCTAACTAAGGTTAGAGAAGTTTGGCATGGGCTCTCCTTCCTCTTACCCAGGCAGAAGTTGATTCTCAATCACTTACGTCTGCAGTTCTTAAAGTCCTGCGATGAAGTTACTCTGTTAGAAGATAGAGATATTTGTGAAACGAGAAGCCACAAGGAGTTAATGGAGGAGAGAGGGCAATGTGCAGAACTGATTCACAACCTGCGAGGATTGCAGTTCAAGGTAACTCACACCTGGGCAGTTGCAGGAGGGACTGGGGAGGAATCCCTTGGGATTTCCTGCCTGGGAGAGATCCTGTCGCTTAGCTTTCAGAAGGAATTTCATTTTGTCTCCAGGATCCTGAACACCTTTATAATGCAGCAATGGTGGAAGCCTTCAAGGAGAACCCTGCCGAGAGAGAGGAAGATGCTGGTATGATCGGTTAGAATCCCATCCCTCTTAATTGTCCTTGGCTTGAATGGACACTGATCTTTTTTTTTTTTTCACCCTAGTTTTGGCTCTATGAAATGAGAAAGATGAAGGAAAAGAATCTGAAACAGGCTCAGAATTTGAAGACAGAAAAGATATTTACCTCTCATTCCCTCGGTCACATACGCTTAAGGATGTATGTATTGGGCATCTACTGTTTGGGATACACACAGTGTAGAAACTGTGCGTGTCATTTTGGGCGGCTAGAATTAAATGGTCTAGGGTAGTGTGTGCCTTGCAGTTCCACTGCCTGAGTCCAAATTTTGGCTTCCCCAGTTACTAGTTATGTGAGCTTGAGCAAGACTCTTGGCCCTTCTGAACCTTAGCTTCCTAATCCATAAAATGAGGAAATAATACCAACCGCAGTGTCTTGTAAAGATTAAATGAGAAAATATACATAACGTGCTTCATACAGTGCCTGACACACAGTGATGCTCAATAGTTATGAGCTGGAGAGATCGAGGTAATGCATAGGGATTAGTTAGAGGCAAAGGCAGACCCAAGACCTGTTTCCCACTCTTTATGGGGAGCATTGAGAACGGATTATGAAGCCGTGAAGGGATCGAGGTGGGACAAGGTTATTCATTCTTTCAACAGATAAAGGCTAAGCATTGACTGTGTGCCTGGAACTAAGCTGGGCTGGAGAGAGCAAGAGAGGCCCATGTTCTCAGGATCTTGTGGTCTGGTGGGGACTCAGGCAGATGGGTAACTATGGGGAACCAGTAAGAGTACTGGGGAATTTGGGTGACAGAAACAAACACATCAGGGAAGGCTTCACAGTGGGAAGGGATTGGTCCTTCAAGGATGTATAGGAGTTTGCTGGGGATACTGTAGTGAGAAGGTGGAAAAGGGGGGAAGGCTTGAGGTTGAGGGCAGGAAGAGATTCCAGGGAGGTGGGGAGGTGAGATGTGGGAGATGAGCCTGGTGGGGGCCAGCTGGTCAGGCCACCTCTTCTCCTCCTTAGATACCCTGCCTTCATTCACTCAACACCCCCACAGCACCCACACTGTCCCCTGCCCCGTGCTGGACACAGAGAGGATAGGGGTCAATTGTCCTCAAAGTACACACAGCAAGGTGGCTTTCCGAGTTAGAGTTCTGTTCCTCAATAATGCATAGTCAAAAACAAACAAACAAACAAACAAACAAAAAAAAAACAACTTAGCACATTTTGTTACATTTAAGACTCCATCCGTTTTTAAATGCCATCACCATTTTACCTACCACTTGGAAAGAAAAAATAACCTCTGTTAATTGAATGACATGACATAGTGGAAAATGGAAGGCACATCCAGATTCCAGAGCTGATACAATGCAGGGGAAAGAAGTGAGGCTTCCAGTCGATGAGATCTGGCATTCTCATGGTGCTTGTAACAAATGTATTCACATTTGGAAAGACAACAAATTTTTACAGTTCCAGAGGCTCCCAGGGCTCAAGTACCCAGATACCTCTTCGGTGCATTTTGGAGAAACCTCCACGCTGCCCGGGATTTGGGGCACCATGGAGAGAGTAATCCCTGCTCCTCACTTCCTCATCACTCACCCTTCTCTGGAGAGGAAAGTGTAATTGTGAAATTTCACGCTGGACAGAGACCGGGTCCTCAACGATAAACAACTAGGCTATCAAAGGCTGTGAAAACTGGAGGAGGGGAGGCACTCGCGAACCGGTTAAAGACAACACTGCCCACCTGCCTGGCGTCGCTGCGTCTTCCAGGGCACAGCCGAGGCAAACAGAGCATCGGCAGCACACTGCCCTGGCCTGCGGGCTGCAAGGGGATGTGACCAGCCCCTTTTGTGCTCCCGGATGCCGTTCATTAAGATCTGCCCACATGCTGAGGCATCTCCCTCATTTTGCAGTTTCAGAGGGCGACACAATGAGCTGAAGTCGGGCTGAACATTTTCAAAGGAGCTCCAGGTTCCCAGGCAGCAAGTATAATGGTGGCTCTATTCAGCGAGGTGCCTTTGAGGTGTGAAAACGTTTCCTGGTGGGCCAGGGTGCACAGAGTCCATATGCGGGATGCCCCCTCGTCTAACTCTATTTATAAAAGCCAAGTACGGTGTATGATTCAGCTTTGGAGCTGACATTTTCATGTTTCTCTGTGGAGAAGCAGAAGAGAACTGCATTCAGTAGTGGCTGCTGGGAGCTGCTTTAGCCAGCATCTCTTTCCTCCCAAGGTGTGTTTCCATGAGAACTTGACAGTCACTTTCCCTTCCCCTTGGGGAATGGAAAGGACCTGGGACAGACATCGGGGGAATCAGATATCCATGCAGCAGCTGACCTAGGCGGATACGCTGGTTTTCTTCTGCATGGCGTGGGCTCTGAGAACACTGGACCTGCCTTTTTCTTGCTTACTCTGTAGCGGATGACACAGGTGCCCTTACCTCTTCAGCATGCCAAGCCCCCTCCCAAATTCCACCTCTGCATTCCTTTGCCTGGGGGCTCTTTCTAGGAGATGCCAGCTACATGTCAAGGTGGAGTTGCTGGGGAATTAACACCCCAGCCCAGGGAGCGGCCCTCACCCCATGGCCAATAGGAATCGGTATAGAAAAATCCCAGATCCATCTCATCACATGGAAAAGCCCTGAGTGTGTGTCCACTCTGGTTCTGAGATTTCTCCACATGGGAAATAGACCCAGTGGCCCACAGTGGTCACTGGCTTGGTGACATGCCTTTTATTGTTGCCTTCCCTTTTTTACTCCGTTTGGCTCCCAAATAAACCACATGTATTCATAGGCTCTTCTTGGGTGCTGCTTCTAGGGGAAATATAGCAAGACAACCCTTGGATCCCCAGGGCTGAGCACATAGTAGGTGCTTAATAAATATTTCTCAAGAGACCAGAAGCTTACTTCACAGGGCTGTACTGAGGACCAAGTAGCACAAAATGAGCAAAAGCGTGTTGGAAATTTGAGAGTGTGAGACAAGTGGAAGGATGCGTCACAGTCCTTTTAGTGGCGCTGTGGAGTCCGAGAGGAGCTGTGCCTGCCTCACTGGGCCCCCGCCTCGGCAGTGAGTGCCATGGCACTTGTGTTCGTCTCCGCAGTTCCTGTGCACCAGCTCATCCAGACTGAATCCCCTTAGGAAGGAACTGTGCCACCTGGAAAACATGTCACAAATACATTAAGGCTTCTGGAGGTTTGACATAAAACAACGGCTATCTTGATTTAATTTGCATTTAAAAAATCCTGTCTTAAACTGTTGGGTTCACGTTTTATGATTTCTTTAACAATTACCCTCTTTACACTAGGGCCATCTATGAATGCTTTTATTTTTCCCCTCCTAAAAACTAACGTCTGATAATACAGCCTTTTAAATGGAATCATTCTTTACCTCCATTAAAGCTGCCAGACTCTTTTATTGGAGCGGAGTGAGCACCAGCATGAACCATAACCTTTGCACTCCAGTCGCTCTGTACAGCAGTGGTCAGTCCATTACCAGCCTTCCATAGTTGATGCCCATCTCAGTGTGTAAAGCATGCCTGTAGCTTCATTCCCTGTCACTCTCCAGAGAGACTGGGTTTTCTTTTTCCTTTTTTTTTTTGAGATGAAGTCTTGCTCTGTTGCCCAGGCTGGAGTGCAATGGTGCGATCTTGGCTCACTGCAACCTCCGCCTCCCAGGTTCAAGCGATTGTCCTGCCTCAGCCTCCTGAGTAGCTGGGATTACAGGCACCTGCCACCATGCCTGGCTAATTTTTGTATTTTTAGTAGAGACAAGGTTTCACCAGGTTGGCCAGGCTGATCCCAAACTCTTGACCTCAGGTGATCCACCTGCCTTGGCTTCCCAAAGTGCTGGGATTGCAAATGGGAGCCACGGTGCCCACCCTTCCTTGGTTTCTTTTTAAAGACTAGTGAGTTACTTCTATTAAAGTGCACATTGGTGGTTTTTCCAGTACGTTCACTGTTTGGACCCATTTTCCAACCATGTAGAACAGCTGTCCCCAGGGTTCAGGGCCTCAACACCCAGATGTGCCACACGAGCCTAACAGGTGGTTTCCAGGTGTGGGGGTCCTTTTCCTGCAGGCTTTGAATTTCCCATCAGGGTTGGGTCCTGAGAAAGGTCAGCCTCTGCCACGTGCTCACATCTGCAGCCCCTTGGGCCTCTCCCCTCCTCTTGCAGGGTACCTCCCTTGTCTCGTCACTGTGTTCCTCTTCCTCCTGATGATAGGCAGCTCTGCGTTCAGTAACTTGTGACAAGGGCTCACAGGTGAGTTTCCCTTAACAATTGGAAGATGCCAAGTCTGTATCTTGGAGTAAAACGCTGCTGCCAGAGCATCTGACTGCCTCCACCACCATGCCATGAGCCCACATGCACCCCTCTGCCCTTTTCAACAAGTGGAGGTCAGATGCTTATACCACAGGACTCAAATCCCTGGAATCCTTTTGGATTTTGCAGGACAAGCAGGGCGTCTATACTTTTAGGTACCAGTTTCGGATTTTGAAGGGCTGCCTAAAGAAGATGTGGGCCCCAGCATGTCTGGAATCAGGGACGTACAAGATTGGGTCAGTTTCACAGCCTCTGAAGTTTCCTCCAGGAATGCTTAGCACAGATTTGTGCCTCCCTAAAGAGAAACTGGCATCTTGTTACAGACACTGCCTGGTGCCAGAAGGTCCCACGTGGCTCTTCTCCCCAGAGTCCTCTCTGCATGAACAGGATGGGCAAGCATTAGATTCGGGCCCAACAGTTGCCATATAGCCATGGAGGGCCCTTCCTGGGAAGAACTGATGTGTTTGCTCTCTCTCGAGCTTTCTGGAGCTCTCCCAGCTTTTGGTCAATGGTCTCAAAGCTTTCCTGGAGCCCTGGGGATATGTTGTGGGGGTGCCAGCCCATTCCCCATGATTACATTTGGTACAGCTCCGTTGCTATGACAACCAAAAAGAGGTGGCGCTGGGGAGACGGGAGCAGGGGAGAGGCTGCTGGGCACAGCTTTCTGAAGCTAGTCCCGGGGGAGAGGCCAATGGGTGGCCTGCTCTGTGCAGAAATGGAGACCTATCTCTGGAATAGACATATTCTCCCAGATCCTACCTCACTCACCAAGAGCCCTGTCCTTGGAGAGCCCGAGTTTTAGAGTCAAGATGCAGCCTCCTCCCAGGCTTGGTGCTACCCCAGGAGTCCCACTGCTGTTGGCTGATTAAGCACACTGCCATGGTGGCTGAACCGCATGTTTGGCCCTGGTGCCCCGGCACCATCAAAGGCACAGGAATGTCTCCTCTTCAAGCTGGGCCTCCTGTCCCTCAGCTCCCCAGAGATACTTTTGCTTTTAAGGATGTTTATCCATCAGCCACCTCTAGATTACATTTCCATTAGGACTGTAATCAGCAAAATGGCATTTAGACGAAAGATGCTTGTTTGCTCCCCAAGGGCAGTCTTGACTTTTAGCACACAGAGCAGAGAAAAATGAAACTGCCAATTTCTCAGGTCAAGGAGATGCCCTCTCCCTAGAAATGCTGGAAAAATTGTGTTCTCACTGGGCAGGACAGAGCCACAGATGCTTTGAATCCTCTGAGAGCCACTTGTATTCACTGGGTATCCTCCTCCCCAGCAAAGATCCCAGGGCAGTATACCCTCTAAGTTACCCCTTGGGAGAAAGAAAGGGAAGAAACTGTGGAGCTGGCCTGTCATACACAGAGGCCCCCCGAGTCATCCCAAAGGCCTGGTGGCTACTGCTACACAGCTCAGCATGCTGAAGGTCCGTTCCTCTGTCCACTCTGGGCTGCCTGAGGGTTACTCCTCCAGCCTCTTGGAATTATGATTCCCTGTTTGCCTCTCTGATCTTTCTCATCCAGCATTGCTCCTGGTCTCTGGAGGTGCAGTGAGCTTCGGGGATGTCTGCCCAGCGGCGTCCACCTGGTTTCTCTGCTTTGTTTTTCCCACTGACTGTGCTGAGCTCACAAGTCAGGTGCCACTTGGGGTCATGAGTGCCAGCAGGAGGAGCATGCAAAGCTCAGAGATCCCAGAAGGGAACAGACTCAACTGTACCCACCTGACTCATCTGAAACAGTCATATGCTTCTTTTTAGTTTCTTCTCTCTGGAAAGATTCTCTGGAAAATTCCTGTTCTCCTGACAGTTTATCGATTCTTGGTGCTTCTCTTGTATTCCTCCAAAGGTGACCTGTGGACCCCAGGGCAACAGGACCATGTGTGAGGTTGGCACAGTGCAGGTGGGCAACAGGCAGCATGTGTACCAGGGGGTGTACGCTGCAAGCATGGTGTCCGTGCTGGTGTTTGGTGACGCCAAAGACCTTACCTTCACCAAGGTCACACTGATGTCATTCTTCTCACTGTATGACATGGTGTTTGATAAGGTATGGCACAAACGTTGCAGGTGCGCCCTGTTACTTAGTCAACAAGGTTTACAGAGCACCTGCTGTGTGCCAGGCATGGTGCTGGGGTCTGGGGACAGCCACAGCTTTCATAGATCTTGCAGTCGAGACTGGGAAGGGTGTCTCAAATAGCGAATTACCAACTGAAGGTAGGTTCCAGGGAGCTGTGGGGGTGGATCACCAGCTCTGAGCCTGGGCCGGGAGTGGAGGTGGGGGAGGCCTTGCTGCGGCAGAGGTGAGCAGGCCAAGAAAGCAACTCCTGCTCCAAAGAGCCCTGAGTGTGACACGGGCCCCAAGAGATCCTCCCAGCCCCATCAGCATTTCACCACCATGGGCTCGGAGGGTCACGGCTAGAGCATATGGGTGGGACCCACACTTTGGAGGTAAAGAGACAAAGTGGAACTTGGCTTTTTATTGCATGGGGCACAAAATTCCTTCCTCTGACAAAGGCATCAGCCTCTCCCCTCTCAGGCTGCATCCCGGATTTGGAGGGGAGGACTGACCTCTAGGTTCTCTCGGGACCTCTGCACAGAGACTGACTCTCCCCCACATTCACACTTATTCATGATGGCCGTGAGAATGGGGTGCGTCCTCCCTTTCCCAAGGTCACCTGACACACTGTGTTGTGCCCTGGAAAAAAGGTCAGGCCCTGTGCTCACAATTCCAGCAACAGCAAAGTGACGGGGTTTACTAAGCATGCACCTGGACTTTAGGTGACTCTCTGTGGTTCTCCGCAGATCTTAAAGAGCCCAGTGAGCTTCTCTGACATGACTCCTACTGGCAGGGTAATGAATCGTTTTTCCAAGGATATGGACGAGCTGGATGTGAGGCTGCAGTTTCACGCAGAGGACTTTCTACAGCAGTTTTCTGTGGCGGTGTTTATTCTCATAATGTTGGCTGCTGTGTTACCTAATTTCCTTATAGTTGTGGTGATTTCGTTGCTAGAGGCTTCTTCATTCTCTTACAGTAGGCCTATGTGCTATTTAGAGGAGAAAACAACACACACACACACTACGCACAGTGACTGGGTATCAGGTGATATTGATATTGAGCACTGAGTGCTTGCTGTCTTCACTGATGGTCTATGTTGGAAACAGGTTTATAACTTTGGGAAAATCCACACTGAGACAATGGATTACTCAGCAAGGCTAGTTCCACTTCCCGCAGGAAGGGTGCAACTCGCTGGCAGTCTTGCCCCGAGAGCACACCTGAACAAGGGAGACAGGGACATTTAGAACTTTCATAACCTGACACAATCATCCTACTGCTGTATTCAGTTTCCATTGGTCAGAATGGGGTCTCACATTCTGTGCTTGACCCGATTGGCTGAGAACCTGGAAAGTTTCTGAAGAAGTAAACGCAGAGGAGAACAAGGAAAAGAGGAAGTAACTTGAGGAATGCTTAGAGCTGTGATACCATTTTCAAATAAAGAAGGGGAATAACCTTTGACCTAAGACTTGTCTGGGCTTGTCTAGGCCTGTCAGGGCAAATATCTAGGTTAAAGTGTAAGAACTAAGAACATGGGATGCACTTATTTCTTTAGTATGACTAACAGCCACCTTAAGTTTATTAGCAAAAGCCTTTTTTTTTTTTTTTTTTTTTTGAGACAGAGTCTCACTCTGTCGCCCAGGCTGGAATGCAATGGAAACCTTGGCTCACTGCAACCTCCACCAGCCAGGTTCAAGCAATTCTCCTGCCTCAGCCTCCTGAGCAGCTGGGACTACAGGCACCCACCACCATGCCCTGCTAAGTTTTGTATTTTTAGTTGAGACAGGATGTCACCATATTGGCCAGGTTGGTCTGGAACTCCCGACCTTGTGATCTACCTGCCTTGGCCTCCCAAAGTGCTAGGCATGAGCCACTGCACCTGGCCAGCAAAAACTTTAAGTAAATTAACCTTTGAAGATACTAGTATTTATTTGTAATAAACTAAGAGGAAAGTTTGAAGAGGAACCTTTTATTTATTCTCATTTTCTATGGTTCCTCCCATTTTCTATTATAATTTCTCTTCAAACTTATTTAATATGTCTTGACTCAGTTGTTCTGTTTGTTCTTCTAAAAGAAGTAATCTATCTGAACAGGGTGGAGGAGGGGTTGGGATATTTTAGTAAGAGTTGTGTCCACTACCCTCTGCATGAGTCCTTGGATACGTGGTATGACACAACATCTAACGAGAATAAGTATGTTTATTACTAGAGAGGTAAGAATTGAGGTTATGGTTTCTTTCCATTGACCAAACCGCCTTGTGAGACAAGTTGAAATAGGGTTATTGATGCCAGAATTTTTAGCTAGCTCATTTGATAAAGCAGTAGGTCCTTGGAGGGCTTTTGCTATGCTCCCATTGGGAGCAATGTCGTTTGGAATGAAGGTACAACACTAGGTGTTAATAATAATACAAACACCACCTTTCTCCACTAATATCATATTTAGGGCTATTCTATTTTCTTAGGCCACCTGGCTGGCTAGTGGATCCTAATTGTTCAGCTATTCCTTTGACAGCATCTTTAGTATAGTTAACAAACCACTGTCGGTTGTAATAAATGTAGTTTATCTAATCTACATTTTTTTTTTATTAATTGTTACCTACCAGAACAACATTGACTTAAATCTTGCAGCTCTCTGATCTTGGGCTTTAAATTCATTTGGAGCTCCTCTTGGGACCTCAATTGCATCTAAGTACACACGACAATCAGAAGACCTATAAGGAGCTTCTCCTATTTGCTGATGTTGTAATTTCTCTTTCTCTGGTTGATGAAATGCCAGGGTAAAAGGGATAGCCAACTGGACTAGAATGCAGATGTTCCTCCAATTATTTGGCAGAGTATCCAGTAAAGGTCCTCTATGATACCACCATACGTCCATTCAGAGATGAGTAAGGGCGGACTGATGAACCAGCTCTCAGAAGTGCCTGATTTCACTGCATTCTGTTAAGTTTTCAAGGAACGGTGAGTTCTCCTCCTGTCATGAGAGACATGAGGCAAACTTCATCTTGTGAAATGGAGGCTGTATGGCTCTCGGGGGCTGAACCACAGGGTGCTGAACCTCAGGAAATAGCAGTGGAAGAACTTGGCACAATTCGTTATTCCAGGCATTGGAATCCTGAGAAAGAGCTACCATGCATTCCATGTCCACTTGGTTTGGGGACCATCCAGGTGGAAAGGGGACAACCTGGGCCTCTGGCCTACCGTGCATACAAGCATAACAGTGGCATTTATTTAAGGTGCGAACGGAGTATTTAATCCATTCTAACCAGGCATTTGCGTCCTTATATCCTGTTTCAATGACTATGGTTTGCCTTAGGTCCTCTACTTCCACCATTGAGACTCTGGTTTTGTCATTGTGTCTAGGAGGAGTGATTGATAAAGAGGTTGAAGAAGCAATAGAGTGCATTTCAAAAATTTCTTTAGGATCCTTTATTGAAATGTCAGCTCCTATACCATAAATATGACTTAATGAAGGAGAAGAGTTTTCAGATGTTGCAATAACAATAGTAGCTGTATAGGATTACATTGGTTATATTGACAGCTAGAAGGAGTAATTCCTTTGATGAAGAGGATATGTAGTTTTAAGGACCTGTGGAAGCAGTCTATCTTAACCCTTTTATTGTTCCATATGACATTAGGCTAAGCAGAACATAGAGACTCTATCTTCGAGGGACAAGAGTCTGATTCATACCAATCACAAATACAGCTACTATTCCTTGGATTACTAGTATCCTTAGAGGAACGCATTATATCTTCCTAATATGAGGAAGGCTAAGTGGGACAGAGACATCGTTCCGAAGCAGCAAACTTGTCCTTGGTTATGCAAATCTCCATGAGGCATAACTAAACAGACATAAGAGCAACAACATGAGGTGAGCCAGAACTAATCACATTAATTACAAGATGAGGAGGTTAAAGGAGAAAAAGAAAAAGAAAGGAAAGATAGGTAGACTAAGCTTTTCTTAGCTTTAAGTTGGTAACGTCTGATCCTGGAACAATAGCCCATGATTCTAATAGTGATGGCACTTTCGTGACTCAGGTGTGATGTGTCTATCTCTTTTCTGTTGTGCAAACGGCAGTCTTGGTGGCTAGCAGCATGAGGTAGGGTGGTCTCCAGGCTGGTACTGGTGTACTGGAAATTCTTGGAGTGGTGCCTCTGCTAAGAGACTTTCTATAATCTTTGTTAAAGAGCAGGTTAGTGATTTAAGAAAAACCTGTTGTGCTTTTATTTTAAAGTCCAGTTTACAGAAAATCTGGATAATACCTCTTTAACTTTAGCTGATATGTTTATACACCGAATTTCCTTTATGATTAAGATTTCAAAACGTGCTTAAACTTTCAAAACAAAAATTATACAACATTTCTTGCATAAATTCCTTTTTATAACATATTTCACAACTATCACAGACAATCTTGCAATCTTAACTTTCTAACTTTGTTTTATATCTTTCCTTATTAGAGGTGTATTCTCTTTTGAGACAGAGTTTCCCTCTTGTTACCCAGGCTGGAGTGTCATGGTGAGATCTCGGCTCACTGCAACGTCCGCCTTCCAGATTCAAGCGATTCTCCTGCCTCAGCTTCCCCAGTAGCTGGGATTACAGGCATGAACCACCTGCACACTCAGCTAATTTTTGTATTTTTAGTAAAGACGGGGTTTCACCATGTTGGCCAGGCTGGTCTCGAATTCCCGACCTCAGGTAATCCACCTGCCTTGGCCTCCCAAAGTGCTGGGATTATAGGCATGAGCCACCATGCCGGGTGTAAGCTGCATTCTTATATTTATAACTTTCTTAATATTTCTTTCTCTTCTTCCTAATTTCTCTCCTTTGTGTCTCCTTCTCTCTTTGCCTCCTTGTCTCTGTCTCTCAGCCTTTCTCTCTTTCTCTCTGACTCCTCTTTGACTTTGTCTGCCTCTTTCTCTTACTCTCTATCTCTCTCTCTTACTCTCTTTCTATCTCTCTGACTCTCTGTCTCTCTCTGTCTTGCTTTCCAAGTCTACTGTTTCTTCCCTTGAAAAGAGAATATTTAGAATGGACATTAACTCTTTCTAGGTATGTAACTGGGGACCTAAAAATTGATCAATCTGTTCTGCTACCCAATCTGAATCATCTAATAATGGCTTAAGTTCTCTCTCTAGACTCCGGACTTTAGAAGCAGTTAAGGGAGCATTCACAATACCAACCACACCTCCTCCTTGAGGCTTCACAAAACTAACTGTGCCTCCTCCTTGAGACATCTTCTTTAGAGAAAAAGAAAAAAGCTTTGAAACTGAAGCTGACTCCTTGGAAGAAGAGGGAAAAGGAAAACTCTGAATATCTCTTTTGCATTGCTCTATCTCCTGCCAGAGCCCTTTCTTCCAGGAAGAACATGCAGGCTGTCAGTGATCAGGCCTTTGACATGCTAGATCCCAAGAACCTGGTTCTAAGGGGAAGTAGGGAATTCTGGGTTGGGTTCTGAGGCAGCAGCCTGCTCAGAGAGGAGAAGGCAGTGTCGTGGGGATGGTGGGAGCAGGAGCTGGAAATGAGGGAAGATGGTCTAAAGGGTCCCAGTTACATGTGGACTGCTCATGGGTAAAAGCTTCACCCTTTTAAGGTGAGACTGCTCCTGACTTTATTCCACTCTCTGATTGTTTTCCTCCTCCTCTTAATGAGTAGAGGAGACCTGGCCCCTGCCGCCAACAGAGAGGGTAGTCCATTTTTTTTTTTTTTTCTTTCTCTGTCTCTCTCTTTTTTTCTTAAGAGTTGACGTATCTAATCCCCATCTGACACAAATTCTGGCCAGACAACTGTGGGCTTGAGGATCAGTCCTTTAGTTCAAATAAAACAGCAATACTTTATCATTTGTCATGGAAGACTCAACCCCCACAAGTTGGGAATCTCTTGCCTGTTCTGTTTAGGGAAGACTCAACCCCCAAAGCTGGGAATCTCTCACCGTCACTGCCCTGGGATGTTGACCTGTTTCCTCCCTTTCCCCTTCTCAGGGTCCCTTACACTATTCTCATGCATGCCATCCTCCTTGGCCACTCCCCAGCAGTAGGACTTGTTGCCATTCATGTAACCTGTGGGCGGGGGGAGCGGAGCAGGGGAGCCGGGCATCCCTAAGATGCTCCCAGTTTCCCAATTCGAGGACCTTGGCCTCTCTTACCCCAAAGAACGGGAAAAGGGGCCCGGGAGGCGCGGTGAGCTTGCCGTTAGAATAAACATCATGGACCTCAAAAGTTTTGCAGGGAGTGATTTATTAGGCAGAGAGAGAGAGAGAGAGAACGAGAGAGAGAGAGAGAGAGAGAGAGAGAGAGAGTGAAAGAGAGCTCTCACATTGCTGTGGGAAGGGAATCTGGAGAAGGATATCCGTATAGGTAAGGAGCAGCTGAGTTTTAACCCCGGAGTTACTCCCTCCCCATTCATGTTCTTGTCCAATGAGAGGAGTTCTTTCAAACTTCTTCTGGAGTGATTGATCTTTGACTCTGATACTGGATTGGCTGCTTGGTCCACAACAGAGCTCCCTCCTCCCAGAGCTTTCAGCAGGCTTTTTGGACAAAGAAGTCCACCTGGATTTCTCTACCTAGCCCAACCGCAGGAAACCTAGACAAAGAACTTTACATTTCTGGATGGAAGGGTGGAGCCAGGAAACTCCTGCCTTTGAAACCCTGCCCCTTGTGGACCCAGGAAGAATCCCTCATTCACAAACAACACCACATTCACACACACACTCTACCCGCCAGAAGTTAACCACCAAGGAGGTACTTCATCATCGCTTTGCAACATTTACTACCTTGGCCTGTGCATGAGGTTGCCTGGCCGAAGCCTCTGGTCACCATGGTTTGGAATCTATTTGGTCTGTATTGCTGCTTTGTTAAGAATCCATGTTTATTTCTTGCACTGAGTAAGTTCTGGCTCTCTCTCCTGGGACCACTGCGAATAGGTCGGAGGGACACCTCCCCACAAGAGAGGACCAAGGACTGCACTAGAGGGGAAACAGGATCATGGACAAGCCCCCAAGTTTGTTGGAAATGGGTTTATAACATCGGGAAAAATCCACACCGAGACAATGGATTACTCAGCAAGGCTGAGTAATTGATTTTTTTGTACTTAGTAAATGCCAGATGCTATGCTAAGTGCTTTGCATACATCTGGCATTTTAGCTTCAGTGCAACCCTGAGAGGTGGAAATTATTGGGAAATTAAAGCATTGGTCCCAGACCAAGAAACTGGTAACCATGATTGCTACCTCTCTGCTGATATGTTCCTAACCATGAGGCTCTACTGTTGTTAAGAGTTTATTTTCGGATGCTTCAGTTCTCTTCAACAAGTCTGCTGATGGTGTCTACGGACAGTGGCAAATGCAGATGTGGAGATGCGCTGGGGCAGGAGAGCTGGCCTCTGTGCGGGGATACTATGGCCCTGGGAGCTGACATTGTGCCCAAGGGAGCTGGGAGAGCTGGACTCTTGCTGCGTCTCTCACTGTCCCTGTGGTGACCCCGAGGAAGTGAAATTGCTACCGGCAGAGGGTCTGCAGGTTCTTGGCACCTGTGAGCAAAGAATTGGACAAAACACACAAACAAAACAAGGAAAGAAGGAAACAACAAAAGCAGAGATTGATTAAAAATGAAAATACACTCTACAAAGTGGGAGCAGGCCTGAGTATAGGGGCTTAACAGCTCAGTTTCAGAATTTTCTGGGGCTTAAATACCTTGTAGAGGTTTCCCATTGGCTACTTTGTGTACGCCCTATGCAAATGAAGTAGTGGCCCATGATCAGTCTGATTGGTGGCAAAAAGTGACCAGTCGGAGGCTGAAGTGAAGCCACAAAGTTACTACTATACAAATGAAGACTTGGCCTGCCACCAGTTTGTTTGGTTGTGGGAGGGGACCAATCAAAGGTACTTTCAGGTTCTCATCTGTCACCTAGAAAAAGGCAAGGACAGGTTTACAAAGGGAGTAGCTTCTGATCCTTTTGTTACTTAGGCAGGGAGGGTTTCATTTTGATTTAGTTCTAGGAAGTCAGTGTGAATTGGCCTTAGGTTCCCTGCCTCCAGACCCTATTCTTCTCCCTCAAAATGAAATCGTCTGAGTCACCAAACTCAAGGATTTATTGTGGTGACCAAATACAAATAATTTCTGAGAGTCATTTACAGGATAAAAGGAAGTCCTGGATGTCATTCTTACAATGGATTCTTTGGGCTCATGTTCCTTTCTGTCATTCCTGTGTTGGATTGTTGTTCCTGTCTGTCCTCCTGTTTATGCAGTTGATTTATTTAGTAAAACCTCTTTCTCAGTTCTATACCCACCCTTCTAGCTATAAAGACAAGACAAACCAGACCTCATCCTGCCTGAATTATCCAAGTGTTTCCAACCAACCCACTTTTGCTCTGCACTAATGAGGCTTCCCTCCTTGCTGCCCTGGGTTCATTTTAGCTCAGAGTCTGGAGCTTTGATTGTCTTCTCTCTTGGGGGCCAGCCAGCTGCTGTGCATACCCGAGGTCCCTGGTCTCCTGCTCACCAGGGCTCCTGGAGCTTCCACATGAAGAGAAGCTACGTCCCGTGGGGTCTGGTTTTAAAGTCAGCTATGATGATGTTCATTCAAAATTACTTTTGAAAATGCCTTTAGAAGGCTGCATGTTGGCAATTGACACACTGGGTTTTCTTCCAGAGTTAGAACAGATCCTTTTTCTCTGGCTGGGCACCAAAAAGTGGTTGGCTGATATTTACGGGCTGCGCTGTATGAGAGAAATTTTGGTCTTTGAAGACTAGAATCATGCCTTGTAGAGCGAGACTTTCCTGATACAAGAAATGCTTAGCATTATGGCAAAATGAAGGCGCAGCTGACTCATGGTTCCCACGCCCCAGCCACTCCCACACCTGGGATGGGCCCTGCTGCAGAATGGCAGGCCCACTCCTCATCCCCAGTTAGACGGCGCCACTTCCGACTTAAGCACAGTGCTGAGTGCCTAGTTGGCTCTGTATGTGCGAGGGCAAGCCTGATGAGACGTCACTTTGTGGCCCACTTGGCCCCTTTCAATTTTCTTCCAGCATTTTCCACAGAGGAGTCTAAAACCTCATGAAGGTGGAGAAAATCAGCTGGTCACCCTGGTTCTCCCACGTCTCCTCCTCTGTGGAGGGCCTGGGCATCATTCACGCCTATGGCAAGAAGGAGAACTATATCACTAAGTGAGTCCCATGTGTGGCCCTGCCCCTGGCCCCCAGGCTTCATGCCTGACTCCAATGGGGAGGGCACAGAAGGAGGGAAGTCTGGGCTGCTGGGGACTGACTGCAGACAAAGAGTTGGAAGAATCAGGAGTCCTTGAAGATACTTGGCCTCATGGCCTCTCTTCCAGCATCTGGGGCCCCAGCAGTTGTGAATGAGGGGAGCTTGTTCAATGACAACCTCATTTGTTCTGTTTTTTACTCTAAGAGTAAAAATGTATTCGATTCAGGAAGATAGGGCAAAGCAGAAAAAAGGAGAAAAAAATCACTTACAGCACTCTCCAACCCAAATCTACTAATTTCTTCATATATTTTCTTTCAGTTCTTTTCTCTTTTTCTATTCATGGAGTCTTCTTTTTCTTCTTAAGTATTTATAATCATTTCTTACATTTATTTGAATGTTTGAAATAGCTTGTTTTATGTTATTACATGTTCCTTATCATTTCTAAAGGCCACCTTTCATTTCACTTAGCATTTTCTTCTTTTTAAAATATGGGGACTATGTTAGTAAATCTCTCTGGCATCTTCCAGCTTCAAACTTCTAAAATACGACATAAAATATATAAATCAGGCTGGGCACAGTGTCTCATGCCTGTAATCCCAGCACTTTGGGAGGCCAAGGTGGGTGGATCATGTGAGTTCAGGAGTCAGAGACCAACCTGGCCAACATGGTGAAATCCTGTCTCTACTAAAAATACAAAAATTAGTTGGGCATGGTGGTGGACACCTATAATGTCAGCTACTCAGGAGTCTGAGGCAAGAGAATCTCTTGAACCTGGGAAGTGGAGGTTATAGTGAGCTGAGACTGTGCCCCTGCACTCCAGCCTGGGTGACAGAGTGAAATATATATATGTATATACACACACACACATATACACATGTATATACATTTGTGTGTGTGTGTGTGTGTGTGTGTGTGTGTATATATATATATATATATATATATATATATAAAATTACAGTTGACTCACTGTGGTAACAATAACTCCAAATCTTAGGGAGTTCATACAATAAATTTTTATTTTTCCCAATGTCACAATTTACTGAGGGTCCTTGGAGCAAGGGTAGGGCATTCTACTCCACACTCAGGCAGAGTCTGTTTCCATCTGGGGCTCTTCCATTCTAAGGGCCCTGGGGTATTCTTTCAAATCCTCTGTGTTGAGACTAGGGGAAAGGCCAGGAAGGAGGACCCATTGGGAATTTTATGGTCCCAACCTAACAAAGCATCCGAAGATTTCCGCACATTCACTGGCCAGATTGGAGTCGCATGGGCTCCCCTAACTGCAAGGGAGGCTGGGAAATGTAGTCTGGCTGTGTCCACAGGAGGAAAAGAAAATGGAGTTTGGTGAATACATAGCAGCCTTTTCCACATAGATTTTCTATCTTTTCCTTCCTTAAAAAGCTAACACACCCTTCAGAGAGAAAGAATTAGATGCAGTTCTCAAGGGTGCATATAATGCATTCTAAGTTTTGAATTGCATTAAATTTATTTATATATTTCATGGTTTTTAATTTTTTGTGAGAGTTTCACTCTGTCATCCAGGCTGGAGTGCAATGGCGCAATTTTGGCTCACTGCAACTTCCATTTCCCAGGTTCAAGTGATTCTCTTGCCTTAGCCTCCTGAGTAGCTGGGACTACATGTCCAGCTAATTTTTTATTTTTAGTAGAGACAGGGTTTCACCGTGTTGACCAGGAGCCCTCGAACTCTTGATCTCAAGTGATCCACCCGCCTTGGCCTCCCAAAGTGCTGTGGTTACAGGCATGAGCCACTGCACCTGGCCCCGAATTGCATTAAATTTAGAATTGCATCTAATTCTCTCTCAGGATCTCAGGATCTCAGAGTAGACTTGACATCACACTTTGTCTTTAGTTCAGTCAGCACCTAATCCTGACCCTAGTTTGACCTGAACATCGTTTGTCAAGAGTTCTGCCTCACACATAGACCCTTCCAATGTCCTGGCCATGAGTAAAGTCCATGGAGCTATTAGTCTATTCACCCACGACAAACACAGATGCAAGCCTTGTCTACATTTTCTCCTCCAAGATTTCTGAGAGGATCCTCTAGGGAGCCAAGAATGATTGATGGAGTTTCCCTTCTTTTACTATTTTCTTTCCACAGGGCTTGGATTTCTGATGTGTATTGCTTTTGCCACCAGACAAAAATGCTACAGCTTAAAACATGTAAAAAGGTTAGAAGGCAAATTCCAGTTTTATTCCAGATAGTGATTTTGTTTCTGTGCAATCTAACCAACCACACAGATAAGACCACAGGTGACTTCCAGGTCACGGAGGCTATCAGTTGAATTTGTACGCTGTATAGCAGCGAGGTAGAAACAGCACCGTGTTTGGAAGCATGTTTTGACTAAGCTCTGGGGAAAATAAGTTAGAGTTGAAACAGAGCGGAGGAGAGGGTGGCAGAGCCCAGGGCGGCTGTTCAGAGGGGCTTTCAGGCAGAATTTTGGGAGGACTTTCAGGACACCATGGAGCAGGACTGCTTGAGGACGTTCTCGACGATGCCAGGGGAGGAATTGTACTTCCTTAGGGCTTTAAGCATGAGAAGGTTTTCATTTTTCCCCCAATAGTTTCTATCAGCTGTTCTCATGAAGCCCTTCCCCACTAGATCAGGGAAACCAGAGTGGCAATTGAATTTGATGTGTCTTTTGGTTAATGGTCAGCTCAGTGTGGTGAAAATTTCAATCTCGAATGTATTCAAGGCACAGATCTCTTTCCCCCAGAGGCTTGGTGTGGCAAGGCTATGCTGTGTGTGTATGTGTGTGTGTGTGTGTGTGTGTGTGTGTGTGTGTGAGGGGTGGGGCAGGCTTGCAGTTGAGAGGCACCTGCTCTGTGCTTTTAAACATCCTCTTCCTTTTCTCCAGGCCTGGCTCTCTGATGGCCATGCCGGGGAACTGGGGAGGGGACAGCAGGAAGAACGCATCCTCGGGTGACTGGTTGGCACCTCTGGGCCATCCTCTCCTTTCTACTGCCCTTTCCTGCTGCTGTAGTGCACTGTGCAGATGTGGGACAGCAGCTTGGAGGCCCCAGCAGGGCCAGATCCCCAGCAGTTCTGCTGGCATTGCTGCATTGGTAAGAGTTGCTGGGTCTTCCTCTGAGTTCTGCCTGGCAGCCCTCACACAGCACTCTGATGTGGAGACCCCTTTGCTTCATGCCAGCGACCATCAAATTATGACTACAGCCTCCAATGTCATCCTCCCTCTTCTCTCTCAGCCCTAGGAACTATGGAGCTGATGGGATCCGCCTTCCATACATCACGACTATGCCAGGTACAGTTTTTCCCCTGGCATCGTCGAGAACGTCCTCAGGCACTGCTGCTCCATGCTGTCCTGAAAGTCCTCCCAAAATTCTGCTTGAAAGCCCCTCTGACAAGCCTCCCTGGACTCGCTGCCCTCTCTTCCTCGCTGTTTCAACTCTATTTTCCCCAGAGCTTAGTCAAAATATTCTTCCAAATACAGCGCTATTTCTATCATGTAACTATACAGCATACAAATTCAACCACCATTCATACATACATGGGGAATGAGGAACTCCAGGGGTGCATCTTGCCCTTGTCCTCTGGCTGTGTCATCTCCCTGTCACTCTTCTCTTGCTCCTTCCCCTGTCTCCAAGCCCTTTGGCTCCATGGATGTGCAGCAGGGATGCAAGGTTTCAGCTTCCTCCCCTTGAAGTGGCTCCCAGCTTTATAAGCAACTGTCTTCAATCTTCTTTCCCTGATTCAGGGAGGGAAATCTGCCATGAACCCTCCCTTCCCTCCTCTATGGTCACAAACATTGACTTGCTTAAAGGTGACCTCCTTCACAATCCACCTCACCCTTTCTATAGATTGAGGGGCCAATTGTCAATTCCACAAGTCCTTTGAAGTGTGACTGACTCTGTGATAGGGATCCTCTGGAGTCAGAAGTGTGAAGCACTCAGCACCTTTTCTTCTCAGCTATGGGTTTGAGCTACCAGTTCTGGGAAAGACAGAAAGAGTCACTTAGCGCCCTACTCTACTGCCACATGAGATTTCCTAAAATATGTGCAAATCAAAGATGTCTAACGTGGAAGATTTTAAGAGCATGAATATATGTTCATTTTTGTAAGAGTCTGCTATTGAGACTACATCCCCCTCAATTAAGAAGTCCCTGGCCAAGGCCGGGCTCGGTGGTTCAAGCCTGTAATCCCAGCACTTAGGGAGGCCGAGGCGGGTGGATCACGAGGTCAAGAGATCGAGACCATCGTGGTCAAGATGGTGAAACCCCGTCTCTACTAAAAATACAAAAAATTAGCTGGGCGTGGTGGTGCATGCCTGTAATCCCAGCTACTCAGGAGGCTGAGGCAGGAGAATTGCCTGAACCCAGGAGGCGGAGGTTTCGGTGAGCCGAGATCGCGCCATTGCACTCTAGCTTGGGTAAGGAGCGAAACTCCGTCTCAAAAAAAAAAAAAAAAAAAAAAAAAAAGAAGTCCCTGGCCTTATTTCTCCAGTCACCCTAACCCTAAGTCTACAGAAGCACAACCTGATCTTCTGCTTTTTTCTGATTTTCTTGACTTTAGGTTTGAAAGGCTAGACGATGAGAGTTCTTGTCACCTCTTCTACTTTAACTGTGCTCACCGGTGGTTAGTGCTGAGAATGGGTGTCCTCATGAACATTCTCACCTTCACTGTGGTCTTGATTGTGACCCTGAATTTCTCCTCCCTCAGTACTTCATCCAAAGGCCTGTTATTGTTATACATCATCTAGGTAATGCCTGATACAAGGTTGCGCTTAGTCTGGAGGCTCCAGCCTAGAATGTATTAGTGAGGGCGCTTTTGGATGGACAGAACAAAAACCCCAACTCGAATGAGTTCAGATGAGAAAGGGAGCTTAGTGGCTCACATCATTAAAATGTAGGATGGTTGTGTGGACTTCAGGCATGGTGGGATCATGGCTATGGGCTTTGCCCAAGCTTGGTGATGACTTTCCTCACAGGTGACCAGCAGCTTCAGGGGTCCACAGCAGAGAGAAAGCAGAAGGAAAGAATTTCCTGCTCTAGCCATAGAGGCAGAAGCCTGGAGTTTTCCTCTTATTGGATAAATGTCGGCATCCCAGAACTAATTAGTGGTTTGGTGGGATACAGATCGTTGGTTAGACAAGGGATGGAGTTACACGCATTTCCAACTTTAAGTCAGATAGCTGCTCCTCTGTGGAGGGAGTGAAATGAATGCTGTAGAGATCATAATAATGTTGATGACAAATAATTACTGGCTTCTCTTCTTGGTTGCTTTTTTTTCTTGAATAACAATAATAGGTGAACATATGGCATTGACTGTGATTGGCTTCAGGCCCTATCTTTTAACTAAATTAATTCATTTCCTCCCCACAGCAACCTTCTAATACTGCCATAATCCCCATTTTGCAGATGAAGAAACTGAGCCCCAGAAAGACTTGGCCCAACCATACAGCTGTCATATGTGAGGGCCAGGATTTGAACACAGGCTACCTGGACCTCATGTTTGTCTGAATCCTGTTATCTTTGGAAACTTATTTGATATAGTCCTTATTCTTAGTGCTCTGGTATTCTGGGATAATGTATCTGAATGTAGATCTTTATTCATATGTTCTGTTTGATGCTGAGGGTTCTTTTAGATTAAAGTCAAATTTCTCATCAGCTTGGAAAATTTTCTTGTTTTTCTACTTCATTTTGACAACGTCTTCCTATTATTTGTTTTTCCTTACTATATTCATGTCAGGTGAAAATGGAATGTCTTGTACCAATTCTCTATGTTTCTTTTTTTTTCTCTCAAAGTTACCATGTTCTTGTCTTTTTATCTTTATTGTGGGAATCTTTGTTACCTTTGCCATTCAGCCATTCTTTTGAATTTTAAATTTGGCAATCATACATTCATATATTTAATTTCCACAAGCTCCTTTTCTCTGAGTGTTGAAAAGAATCACTTTTTACATGGATGCAATGTATTTTTTAATCTCTCTGAGGATATTAATATTAATTAGTGTATTAGTCTGTTGCTACTCTAATGATAAAGACACGCTCGAGACTGGGTGATTTATAAAGAAAAAGAGGTTTAATGGACTCACATTTCCACGTGGGTGGGGAGGCCTCACAATTATGGTGGAAGGTGAAAGTCACACCTTACATGGTGGCCGACAAGAGAGCATGAGAGCCCAGAGAAAGGGCAAACCCCTTATAAAATCATCAGCTCTCGTGAGACTTCCTCACCACCATGAGAATAGTATGGGGGAACCACTCCTATATTTCAGTTATCTCCCATCCCACTAGGTCCCTCCCATAACAAGTGGGAACTATGGGAGCTACAATTCACAATGAGATTTGGGTGGGGACACAGCCAAGCCATATCAATTAGAGTCTTTTTTTCCCCTCCTAAACTCTCCTTTCTTTTTGACTTGCATCTGTTTCTTCCATAGGTAGGTTTTTTTGTTTCTCTCATTCTTGCTTTTTCATGCCATTGGTTTTGTTCATCTGTCTCCTGACCCATTTGTATTTAATCCCAGGCAACTGGGTTGGGTTTTCAGAGTTTCCTCTGCCTTTGTTTCCCCATGCTAGGTGTCTCCTGATGGGAAATTTTATGACCACAGGTTTAGGTGGGTGGTGGAGCTTTTCCATAGGCTGGCTTCACATCAGGAAAGCAGCCGGCGACCTGGCCTTTAGGTACCCAAAGACTTAAAGGAGTTCTTATGCCCCATTTATCCCCAGACAGTTAATCAATTTCTTTAGAGAAAATCGTGTGTGTGTGTGCATGTGTGTGTGTGTGTGTGTGTGCGTATGTGTGTACACGTGTGCTCCCATGCCTAGGGATAAAGGGTCCAACTACCTCTGGTTAGGAGAAAGAAGAGGGGAAGGTGAGTTAGTGAACCAGACAGGAGTGGTTGTCCATACACAGCCTATCAGCCAGCCTATTTGTGAGTCCCCTTCTCACAACTGGAGCCTCTGTGGATTCTGCTCTTTAAGCTCTAGCATGTTCTGCTTCCATTTTATCAAAAGGCTTCATCCTCTTCCCATCTTGCAGAAATTTGTAGCTCATTCACTGCTATCTCTTCTCAATTCCCTTGGTGTTAAAGGTCTATTCTTTATGGAAAATTTCTCTGTTATCATGTCAATGGTATTTTGAGAAGAAGGAGAAACACAGATGTATTCTCAGCACTCTCTCGTAAGTGGGGAAAAATGAATTTTCCTTGGGTAACCAGTTTCCTGTATTGATAGATGTTTTCATTTCTTTTTGCCTAGTAAAGTATCAAACAGATGATGTTGAACAGTTTCCCTTAATTGGTCCAAGTAAAACAGCTTTCCCCAACTAAGGTCATGCTTTTGGGCGATATTGCCAGTTTTCCAGGAAATTGTTTTCAAACATTCCTGTAAGGTCGTGCACAGCATTGAGATCTATGGAACACTTGGTCTCCAGCTGCCTCTGTGGCTTCATGAGCATTAGCCCCCTTTGGAGAACACAGAATCAAAATGACAGTCTCAGTTCCACTTGAGACTAGAGAAGCCTCCCTAGATGGATGAGAAATTGGCATGAAATCCCACAGAGCAGAAAGCGAATGCAAAGTGACATCATATCGTATCACAAAGGAGCATAAGCACTTCCTGGGGCCAGCACTGCGCCACTGTGGGCATTCTAAACCTGGGAGGGCTGCCATGGCCTTGGAAGCTGATACTCTTGCATTTAGCAAAAGATGTATATGCCCTTCTCAAGGGCAGGGTTCATTCATTCACTAGCCAGATATCCACTGAGCACCGACCATGAGCCAGGAACTGTGCTAGTGGCTGTGGATTCAGTGGTCAACAGTCCGAACAAGTCCTGCTCTCATTCTAATGGGCAGCTGGAATAAATGAGGGGCAAGTAAATAGATGAGAAGCTCAAAAGGTGTTTCAGTGTTAGGAAGATGAACAGTGGGGGAATGTGGCTATTGGAAGGGGAAGCAACATTTCACACAACAGCCAGAAGAGGCCTCTGCTCGGAGGTGGCTTCCAAGCTGAGACCTGAAGGATAAAGAATCGGCCAAGGAAGACTGGAAGAAAGAGGGCCTCAGGGAAGGGCTCAGTGGTAGGCAAGATCCTGGCATGTCTGAAGCTCTGAGAAGCCCACATGGCTTGAACAAGGTGGTCTGAGGTGCCAGCTGAGTAGAATACGTATAGCTTTGTAAGACGGGGGCAAGGGTATTGCCTGCATTCTAAGACTGGGTTTCTCAGCCCTGGCCCTGTGGGCTTTGGGGTTGGATAATCCTTTTGGTGAGGGGCCGTTCTGTGCATGGTAGGATGTTCAGCATCCTCCCTGGCTCTGCCCATGGGACGCTGGTATCATGTTTCTCCCGCCGGTTGCAACAACCCAAACTGTCTGTAGACATTGCCCAATGTCCTCTGTGAGGAGTAAGCACCCAGCCATTGCTCTAAGTAAGTGGGAAACTGCTGAACTGTGTTAGGCAGGGAGGCCGGCTGAGGAACTCTCAGAGGGTCTGCATACACACAGAGTCCATGTCACCCACCTGCCTGTGCCCCTGCCTCTTTGAGGCTAAGTCCACTTGCTTCTGACTGGAGCATTCTTATCCCAAGTTCGCCTGGTGGACTTCTTATCATAAATGCCTCAGCTCACAGCCCCGGCCCCTCTTTCACATCATCCTGCTTTCGGGACGTTCTTGTCTCTCCCACAGTGGCCTTGTGCACCATCCCTCCCAGTCCACTATAATGGAAGCTGTGTGAGTGCAGGATTCTTGTCTATAAGTTTCAACCCTGGAAATCAGTACCCTGACCAGTACCTGGCTCAGGGCTACTGCTCAGTCAATGAAGTTCCCTAATGAATGAGATGGCCCTGCCTCTAGCCCACTTGGTGACAGATGCTGTGGCTGTCCCACCCTTCCAGGGCAGTCCAGTCCTAGCCCAGGGCAGGCTGGAGGTTCCAGGTGTTCTTACACCAGGAGCAGGTGCAGCAATGACTGAGGGAGTTAGTGGTTATGTGCCCTGGCTTCCTTGCCCAGGCATAGGACCATTCTGAGGTGTGCTCCATCCAGTGTCCCAGAGCTCCCAGGCTGGCTGGACTCTCAGTTGCCTACAGCAGTAACGTCTCTTGAACACACCTGGTATGGGATGCCTCTCTTCCCCTGCTCACTCTTCCATCCCCTCCTGGTACAATCTGGGTTCACCGCCTGTGTTCATTTGCAAACGCTGCTGTGACAAATTACATATGTGCAGGCTTCAAATAAGAGAAAGGCAATCTCTCTCTCTCTTTTTTTAAAATGTATATTTTATTGCACTTTAGTTTCTGGGGTACATGTGAAGAACATGCAGGATTGTTGCATAGGTACATACCTGGCAATGTGGCTTGCTGCCTTCATCTCCATCACCTACATCTGGCATTTCTCCCTACGTTATCCCTCCCCAACTCCATACACCCCGCTGTCCCTCCCCTAGTAACCCCCAATACCCCAGTGTGTGATGCTCTCCTCCCTGTGTCCATGCCTTCTCATTGTTCACCCACCTATGAGTGAGAACATGTGTTTGATTTTTTGTTCTTGTGTCAGTTCGCTGAGAATGATGGTTTCCAGGTTAATCCATGTCCCTACAAAGGACACAAACTCATCATTTTTTATGGCTGTATAGTGTTCCATGGTGTATATTTACCCCGTTTTCCCTGTCCCGTCTATCATCGATGGGCATTTGGGTTGGTTCCAGGTCTTTGCTACTGTAAACAGTGCCACAAAGAACATAAGTGTACATGTGTCTTTAT